CCTCTCTCTCTCTGCCCGGCTGTCTGTCTGTCTCTCTCTCTCTCTGCCCGGCTGTCTGTCTCTCTGCCCTGCTGTCTGTCTGTCTTTCTCTCTCTCTCTGTGCCCGGTTCTCTGTCTCCGTCTCCATCATTCCCCCCCCATTTTGTGTTGTTTGTTCATTTTAAAATTTCCTCTGAATTTTACAATCCACCAATCTTCCATAACCACTTACCTAGTACAACCTGGAGCCTCTGCCTGGAGGCGCAGGGCAGGAGTCGGGAACCACCTGGATCAGATGTCATTCTGTGACGGGCCTCACACACTGAGCAATTTAGAAGCACCTGGCGGAAGCCTGTTTGAATACAGGGAGTTAATGCAGATTCCCAAAACAACCAGAATAACCTACGTGTCCCTTCACCCTCCTCTCTTTTCGTTCTCTTTTATCTGTTTTGTATGTTGAATAGGACTTGCCCCCCTGCATTTTAATAGTGGAGTTCTTGAGACTGGCCTGAAACACTAGAAGATCCCTGCTCACAAACTAGGTCTGCTTTAGAACCTTCTAGAAAGCCCTCAAATACAGTGTTTATTGGCGCATTAACGTTATTTTTGTCCCCAAGTTTATATTTGAAAAGTTGTGATTTCCTCTGGGAATTAAGATGTGCTACATGTTTTGGTTCTTTTTAGCATCGTTTCCTTGCTTTTAGTGTTGACTTGGCGATTTACAGTATAGGTGAACTGCACCTGCATTGTTACTGTAATATGAGGGGCTTAACAGCGCTAAGCGGGTAGCGTAGCTTGCAGCTGTTTGTTACGTTTAGTGCCGCTTCTGGGCTCTAATTGTGTCTGCGTGGGTTTTGTTTCCAAGATGCTGGTCAGGTGGATCGGTGACTCTCCAGTCAGTATGTTGTTGCTCTGCGGCTTCACCTCTATCTCTGGGTGTTCCCCGACTTAGGAAATGTTAGATCACTTCATCCTTCACGGGGAAAGAGGTTACTGATGGATTGTTCGGATTGTGGACCATCGTGTTAAACTGTACCTCCTAGATCTTGCATGGGATTGTCTGCTCATTCAAGCTGCTGTTTACACTATGCAGCCTAGCTACGGACTCTTAGCATTTCCTATTTAATTATGACATGTTCATTTAGGTTTCATCTTGTGTGGGTTAATGTCCGATAAATCTGAAGAAGTTCTGTGACAGGATTACATGGCTCTGCTCACACGTTTTAAGGACAGGAAGTTACTTCTCAGCAAAGGATAGATGGGCATCGCTTTTTGAGAAGCTCTGTTTTCAGCAGATTACTGTTTAGGCACTTGGGCTGCATGTGTGGATTTGAGGTGCCCTGCTTTGGATTTGGCTAGGAGAGAAACACTGTCTCTCGCCGACCTGAGCCGACGCTCTCTGCCTTTCCAGGAACAAGGAGTGTCCGACCTGCAGGAAGAAACTGGTGTCGAAGCGCTCCCTGCGGCCCGATCCCAACTTCGACGCCTTAATCAGCAAGATTTACCCGAGCAGAGATGAGTACGAAGCGCATCAGGAGAGGGTCCTGGCCCGCATCAGCAAGCACAACAACCAGCAAGCCCTCAGCCACAGCATCGAGGAGGGCCTCAAGATCCAGGCCATGCAAAGGTGGGGACCCTCACTCTGGACTGGGCTGCTTGCAGTTACTGTCTCATTAATTTGTTTATTTTGTTTATTCCCAAATTGATTTATAAGGAAAATCCATACTTAACTGTAATTGGGCTCAGTCTGCTAAAATCAACATATTTTGTACTTTGTTTAAATGAGTCGCTGTCAGTTTTGTGCAGGGCTGATGCTAGGGTAGTTTGTGGCTCAGCGGGTTAATACTCTGCCTTTGAACAACCCCCCCCCCCCCCAAAAAAAAATAAATAAATAAATTACCTGACCCTGCCCTCGGACCCCAAGCCTTGCTTTAAACTGCGTGTGTGTGTTTGTGTGTGTTTTAAATGGAGAGACAGCTAGCTAGGATATGGAGAATGCAGCATTCTAATGTACTGGTACGAATGACGACAGACGGATAATGTCATTTAGAATTTGGTCCTTAAGGGGCAGGGTTGCCACCTTTAATCTGTAGAACAGGATGCCTCCCCACCATGTTTCTGATGCTGTGACGAAACAATCTGCTGGCTGAAGATCGAACTGTCAGTCAATCTGTTAATCTAATCTAGTCCAATCTAATCTATTTTTTAAACCCTGTGATGACATCACTTCCCATGAAGAACAGATTTGACAGAACTGAAGGGACCCCCTAAGCGTGGCAGAGGTGTTATGATGGACTTTACTGATGTACTTGCCACTCCCACGCAGGCTGCAGAGGGGGAAGAAGCACCAGATAGAGAACGGAAGCGGGGCGGAGGACAACGGCGACAGCTCCCACTGCAGCAATGCATCGGTGCACAGCAACCAGGAGGCGGGCCCCAGCATTAAGCGCGCCAAGACCTCGGACGACTCGGGGTTGGATATGGACAACGCCGCGGAGAACGGTGCTGGGGACGCAGCCCTGGAGGGAGCCAGTGAGATCGAGCTGGTCTTCCGGCCTCACCCGACGCTGATGGACAAGGACGACGCGGCGCAGACGAGGTGAGCGGCCCATTACCCACAATGCCATCCTGTTCAGTCTCCTCTTCTTCCTCCCTTGAATTTCTGGCACTTTTCCGTCCATTCAGAAATTTTGTGGCTAAGGGGTTTTAATATTCTGGACACCTTAGTCTGTTTGGTCTTTGAGTGTGCAGCATCACTCATCAGTAACCTGCTTCAGTGTCGAATTCGTGCCCAGGTACATCAAGACCTCGGGAAATGCCACGGTTGACCACCTGTCCAAGTACCTGGCCGTGCGGCTGGCTCTGGAGGAGCTCCGCAAGAACGGGGACGCCAGCCCCATCAACGTGGAGGCGGCCAGTGAGAAGCAGTACACCATCTACATCCCGACCACCAACAGCCAGTTCACGGTACGCTCACCGAAGCGGCCCTGTGACACGACTCAGTGGGTTAAGATGCCGTATCTGTGATCTGAAAAGCGCTGGTTGGAGTCTCACGGCTGGTAGAGTGCTTTTACCGTTGGGCCCTTGAACGAGACCCTAATCCAGGGACTGACTGACCCTACTTACTCAGTTGTGTGTTGGTTTTGATGAAAGTCTTCGCAATAAATAAAATACAAATTTTAAAATAACCCCTTTAATGAAATCAGTTAACTTACATGAAATTTTTGCACCTGTCATAACGTTGGGTTGAGCACCAGGGGGCTTGAGGTCTCCACCCATTCTAGGGAGCTCAGGCGGTTGTATTGGCTGGTTTTGATTATTCGGGGGGGTTACAACCACCCATAATTACCGCACATGCCTGTCATATGGAGATGAATCCAGGTCAGTAGCTTCATGTTGGACAAACGGAGCCCAGATTGTGCTCAGTCCTATTCTGATCCAGCTTGTCGTTCCACTGCAGGTTCTGAATGGATCCTTTTCCCTGGAGCTCGTCAGCGAGAAGTACTGGAAGGTCAACAAGCCGATGGAGCTCTACTTTGCCCCCACCAAAGAACACAAATAGTCTTTTTTTCTGTGGGAAGGGCCAGACAGACTGACAGCTGTCCCCCTCGCTCTCTCTCTCCGTCCCCTTCGGATCTGTTCATTTCAGAAGCAGCTGTTTCTGACTAACTGTGGCTGTCCCTTTGTTTTTGTATGTACCAGTGTTGAATATTTCTGTAGGAAGATGATTTCATGTTCAAATAATGCACTTTTTTTTTAGTTAGAAAATATTTTCCTTCATACAGTAGCTGCTATTCTCACAGGATCAAACTCTCCCACCAGCCTTTTCTCGCTCTTTCTCTCCACCCCCCCCCCCCAAACCTTTATCTGTGTCTTCATGATGTCTGTTTCTACAGCATATGGGTAGTAGGTACTGAAGGAAGCAGGTTTGGTTTTGGTTGTTTGTTGTGCAATTGTGTGATTTTTAAAAATGTACAAAGGGATAAATCGTTCAGAGATTTGATTTGGACGGCATGGCGGGTGGCTTTTCCTGTGGCTTCACCGTGAAAGGAATTGCCATAGTTTTTTTTTTTTTTTGAAGATACACCTGATCTTCACTGTGTAATATGTGCTTATTTTTCATATTAACTGACTTACTTCATAACATGAATTTTTGTAAAGTTAAAAAAAAAGGGTAAAAACCTGCTGTTCCACAGGTGTTTCTTGTTGGTCATCCTTGAAAAACACTGAGACTGATTTGAAAGGGTGAATTTCAGAAAAAAAAAACACCATACAGGTATACATACCTATTAATTACAGCATGTTTGATTCTGCGTTTTGAGGTTTTGGATAAAAAGAGGTTGTTGTTCATGTTTGGGGGGTGGGGGAAATGTACACAACAATAGCTACTGGAAAAACATTAAAAACATGTACAACCGACAGTCTTTTTTCCTTAGATTCCTCCACCTCTTACCTGTTTACCCTGGTCGGGGGGGGAGGGGGTTAGAGGAATGGTGCCTTAAAGGCATTTGCCACATTTCTAGTGCTACATCTCGCTCTGTCTGCATGAGTATGTCCACTAAGACAGGTGTGACGAACCTTATCCATGGAGAGTCGGTGTGGGTTTCTGGGATGGCCTCCCAATCGACCAATGAAAAAACAGAAGGTTCTCAACGCCAGTCCTGGGGACCCACTGCGATTGGCTGATTGAGAGATCATCCCAAAAAGCCAGAGGCTCTCCACGCATCAGGTTCCCCACCCCTGCACTAACACCACGCAATAGGGCTGCCCTCTGAAACGCAACGATCCCAATATTCGGTCGAAGACCTACGAGTTGACTTTAATTAGTCAGTGTGCATTACAATATATTTCAATGAGGAATTATAAATAAGGAGAATCATAAATATATTATTCTAGCAGGGTGCTTTAAAAAAAAAATCTGGGTAGTGATGTGCGGGCTTACCCATAACCAGATGGGTGTGGGCCGATCAGGTCAGTGACAAAGCAGCGTTTTAATGAAATTATAAATAACTTACAGAAACATTGCATACAACCAGCTTTGCCTTACAGCATGGGCGGGGAACCTGATCCATGGAGGGCCAATGTGGGTGCGGGTTTTTGGGATGAGCTCTCAATCAGCCAATCACAGTGGGTCTCCAGGATTGGAGTTGAGAACCACTGTTTTATTATTGCCTGACGGAGAGGTCATCCCAAAAACCCGCACCCACAATGGCCCTCCATGGAACAGGTTCCCCAGCCCTGCCTTACAGGTTCCCTGAAATGCGTGCAATAGGCGAGGCTGAGATTTTTAGTCCACCTACAGGAGACCAGGTGCATTCAAGTTCAATTCAGCTGGGTGCAAGTTAATTAAAGACTTAATGAAAAAAAGGTGCATATACTCTCATCGATTTATTGAAGGCATGGCAAATGACGGACGCTTTTGGGCACTATGCCATACTCGGTGTCCTACCACGCGGAAGATAGCGTAGTGCTGAAACGTGTCTGAAAGAATCAAATAGTCTACAAGAATTAATCCTTTATTTTGGACACTGTTGAAGCATTAGAGGAGAGAATGGGTTGTCAAAATCTGTTATATCTCATTTACCTCTTATCCATCCCCTGTTAATTGAACAGCAAGCTGGCAGAGTACTCACAGCCCCAGAATCAGGTACGATGGCACTGGCTTTATTTATATGAATGTGTGTGCTTGACCACTAAAGATGGATATGCTGTGCTGTGCACACCATGTATGGAAAGAAACAGACCTAAAATAGCAGTAACTGAACACGCTAAAATAACTAATTTCAAAATAATTAGCTGGCGGTTGAGTGTTGCCCTGTGGTATTGTGCGACCAAACTGAGTGCTTGTGGCGGGCAAAGCAGTGCACGTATTTCAACAAAAAAAAAATAGGCTGTAAGAGTTCGACTTAAACAGAAGCTGCGCTGAGAGTTGCAGTGTGCAGTTGAAATCAATGCCAATGGATTTTCTAATTTTCACATACTCTATATAGGGAAAAAGAAGAAAAAAAAGGCTGAAATGCCTGATCTTCACCTTGAAGGACGTAGCTGACCGGCTTTTGAGAGCTGCTTTCTGTTTATGAAATAGAACAGATTAACGGTGACGTATTCATTTTAAATACTGCACAAGAACGATCCATCGGTCTTTCTAGTGCAGGTTAAGGAAGGCCGATGTCGGCAGGTACAGCTGGACAGGCAGGGGACGGACAGCCACTCTCACAAATTCACCCGAACCATGATTCTGAGGTGAGAGGAAACCCACAAGCGCACAGTCTGGAGGTGTGAGGCCACAGTTACAACCACAAAACCACCAAGACGCCCCTATTAGGGAAAAGGCGTCGTGATACGAATGCAACAACAGTATGCTTCACAGCTTCACTTATAAAGTAAATATCACCATGTATTTCACATCCATGTTTAATGTATCTTTCTGAAATTACCATAAAACCAAGCAATATAGCAGGACCCCATCCAGTCTCCATAGCATTAAAATAAGTTGGGTTCTTCACAGCTCACTCCTAAGAGGAAGGGCTCAAGCTGACCCTTGGGTCTCCGCGTTGGGAGACCCGGTAAAGGTGGGGGGCCACCAGCCTCCAAAAGCGTGGGAAAGGGTCACCTGCTCGGTAAAGCGTACTTCATAACTCAGGGCACAATCAGAGAGAGTCTGGGCTGTGGTTTCAAAACAGTGTTTGGTCTTTGTGATGCAAAGAAAAAAAGTAAAAGACCCCTTTAAAAAAAGGCTGATAAGCTACAGCGCTTTAAAAGAAGAAATATTATAAAAATAAAATCACAATAAAGGGAAAGTATCAGTGCAGTAAGAACGTGTTCATCATCTCAGGACCACGCAAGGCCACCCGGGGGGAGGGGTCACTCCACGGGCCGGCAGCACTCGTCGACACTCAGGCTGCGGGCCCCCACCTGCGTGGCGGAGTAGGTGGGCACGCTGTACTTGGTCAGCACTGCCTTGAACTGGCTCAGGGTGGCGTCGGTGCGCACCCCCGTCGGGTCGAAGTGGGTCCGGCTGACCCGGAATCCTGCCTCTGTCAGGTACTGGAGAAATTTGTTCAACCTGCCGACGAGCAAATACAACAGCTTAGACTGAACACACGCCTCTATATTGTAACATTACTGTTAGCTACTCAATGCAGCTTTGGCCATGGCTAAATTACAATGCTATGAAGTAATCTTGTTATAAACAAAAAACAAACAAACCAACAAATAAATAAAATTGACCTTTGAGGGCAAACAGCCCCCAGACCAGAGAATTTAGCTGAATGTTAGCCAGACATCATATAACAATTATACAAATATGAAATAAATTATGCGATTTCATTTTCCAGAGACGGAATGCCGGATTTATGATTCTGTTTAAACTAACACTGGGCTGAATTTACGCCCCTTGCAGGTAATGTTTTAGTGAAGTGTTTTGTTTGCTTCATTGTTTCGGAGTGCAGTTAGGGTGGGGGAGGGGGGGTTAACGCTCACTTGGGCATGTTCATGCCGCGGATGCTGTGCCGGTGGATGCTGTAGTAGAACGCCGGGTGCTCCATCGACGTCTCCGACTTTGCTTTCTTCAGCACGTTCCCGGACTCCTCAGTCGTCTTCCTCTTCCCTACGGCGCAGACCGTCCAATTACGTGCACAAAACACGATCTCCTACCATGCTGCATAATGTCAAGCCCGCATCCCCAAGACCACCAACCTATCAGGCAAACAGATTGGCCGCCTGTGCTAAAGAACCGATTCCCTGGCTCAGGGACCTACAGTCACATCCCACCATGACTGTAGAGGGCGCCATAAGGCACTCAAACTGTGCAATGAGGTAATGCAATGATTCGCTGCGCAAAACAGCTCTTCCTCAAATGGGGAAATGCCACTATATTTCTCCATGAAAGCTACATCACCTGATTGGTCCACTGAGGCTGTGTCCTCTGCCTTCTGTACCGTTTTAATGACCACACCGCATTCCACTGAAAAGGGGAGGAGAAACTGCGATTTTTCATAAAACACAAATCAAAACATGTCGTCATGAAGCTAACGGCGGGGGGGCTGCTAGTCGCCGGCGGCCAAGATGCAGCAGCGCACCCTGATTGGCGTGCAGTGTGGGGCCGTGGACAGAGAAGGACTTGAGGGTGGTGCACTCCGACTCGCAGATGAGCGTCTTCACCAGCGGCTGCACGTCATCCATGCTGTACTGCACGGCTGCGGCCAGCATGCGGCGGAGGAAGCCCGTGTTGAAAAGGGGACCTGCCCTGGAGAAGGGGAAGAGAGATCAAACACTGTTGGGACACCTCCCCCCGCACCCATGTCGAGGGAATATCAGAGGTGGGCCGATGCTTACCAGAGGGGGCCCAGCTCCACAGCCGTCTTTCCCGGCATGCTCCCATGGCAGCTGCAGGGTAGCTGTCTGTATAGGCTCTCTAGGAACAGGCAAATCAGGAGAGCAGGAGTGACGACCTTTGACCTTTGCCAAGATAGCCAATGGTAAAGCCCGAGGAACTTGCTGTGGGACAGCGTACAGAGGCGTGTGACATGGGTGTTGGGCGTATGGATAGATAGATCAGGCAGACGATAGCGGAGCCCCACACCCCCCCGATACTGTCACAGTGCAGGGAAGCCCCCCCCCCAGGTCTGACCTTCCACCATGCTCCCGGGCTTCAGGAAGACCCTCTCCTCACACCACTGACAGTGCAGGAGCTGCCGTATCTTCTTCACCGCCTCGTCGGCCTGCGTGGGGCCCCGCAGCAGCCGCACCACCACCAGGACGAAGTGCTCGACGGCGACGGCCAGCAGCACCTCTATGCCCTTGTTGCAGCGCGCGGCCGCCCTGCCGGGGGACAGAACACGTCAGGCTCCTGGCCTAGGATCCACCACCAGCCACAACTCAGTTAACAAATCTACTGGGATGTGAGGCGAAAATAAGAGCAGACAAAACAAACGAATGCGAATTTACAGTAGAACTCATGAATCATGTGTCTTATTTGAAATATTTTAATGTATTGAAATCTTAAAGCTGTAGGCTAATTCCCCTTAAGTCTAAACCGTAATCACTAAACACACATTTCCCTAAAACAACAAGGCTTTGACCAAACATTCCTCCGAAAGCCACCACAAAGCACTGACCTAACTAAAAAAGCACTAATCAAACAAACATTTCTCTTAAGACTACAACTAAACTAACCAAACAAGCGATGCGCCAAACAAACATGTATTCCCAAACCTACAACACGAAGACCAAACAAACATCGCACTAACCTAAACTGAGTTTCCCCCAAGACTATGACACACTGACCAAGAAAATTGCCCTTGAGTTTGCAGCACCTTGCCACCGTAGCGACGACCATGCGTGCGGCCAGCTCCTTGTAGTACTCCGTCCTCACAATCTGGCAGCCGTAGTGCCGCAGGGTGACGTTCGGGGCCTTGGAGTACAGCGACCCCGTGTCGGTGGACGTCACCGACACGATGCCAAGGTTGCGCACGTTCCGAAAGGCCGCATCTAGGTAGTTCACTGCTGTCCCAAAGGGGTCCAGGTGTCTGCAGCCACCAGCAAACATTATAGGTCATTTCAAAAATATCACTTTAAAAATGCATTGCATTCATTTTTCATCCCTTTAATTAAATTTAAAAATACATGAATGAGGAAGATGGATAAATATGAATTTAACAACAGAAGCAACATCAACAATAATAAATATTTTACATGAAGATCCGAGAGCATAACAAGCCCTTAATTTTTGTGTAGATCGTTTCTTCTCTTTCTCCCGGTAAATAATTTGTTTGCAATCCCTGACCAGTTAGGAGTCACTTTTAAGCCAGTGATTTATGTGGGAGATAAGTTTGAAATTAATAGGTTTTAGTGGTTTACACTTAAGTTCCTGCAAACCATGGGTTTTTACCACTTTTCCCATTTATTTCATGAACTGCTGTTTTATTTGTTAAGTATTGGAAAGTTGAGCGAACAACTATAAATGAAAGACAAATAAAACAAGTTTCCTTAACTCTAAATGCACTAGTTAACCGTTTCATCCCACAAAACAGCAGCATTTAATGTCCCTTGTAGAAAAAATGCCTCAAATTTTCTCTGCTTTTACAACTGCTAGAGGTTACTTTGATAAGTCAAAGATATGACATTTTCTCGTTAATAAAGGTACTCAAATTGTGAACGTACTGTAAAATTATTCGTTAGAAAAGAATATTGTCTGTATTTTTAGTAAATGTTAAGTGAGTAACATGCAAATGTAGAAAATCTCAGTGTGTGCAAAAACTTTTGACTGGTAGTTTTATACATTTTAGTAGTTTAAGTTACTTTTACTCATCTCTGAAATAATAAGAATATATTTCAGGGCACAATGACCCAGACTGGCTTGAGAGAAGAGAGGAAAGATGTTTAACAGCAAGAGCACATGGCATGCAGAGGAGGTGCAGAACGAGCAGATAATGATAGTTACCAGGGCAACTACCCAAGGTTGAAGACAGGAGAGAGAGAATGTTTCAGATGAATGGAGGGTCAAGGTACTGCGTGAGTGAGAAAATAACTGACTAACAGGAAATAATCATTTGCTAAGCTGAGACCCTGGGACAGGCTTCGGGAAACCCCTCCTGCTTCAGCCAAGACTGCAGTAAGTGAATTCCTTCTGATTATCGTTTAAGGGGAATCTGTGCAAGGTTCTGAGTACAGACGGCAGAAGTCACTGGCTAGCTGTCTTTATTGTTTGTGCTAGGGCAGCCGACTACTGCGTTTCGTGTGGGTCATAATGCCTGAGAGCATCGGTGCCCAGGAGACTTGTGACGGGCACGCGTCATACCCACAGAGCGCTGGGGCAGGGAATCAGACAGTGTATAGTGATGAACTAGTGAACAAAAAGTCTGTCCGAATGAGCGATCGAATGAAGAGGAAATAAGCGTGACCGGAGTCTTGGTATGTGTGGGGAAGGCATGCACTGTGTATGCGAGGTTTGTAAATTTGTAGTACAGGGGCCAAGCCCATACACTCCAACAGTAAGATTTCCAAGTACCAAGTACTCATTATTATAATGAGGAGAAGAATCCAATTAACTCCAGAGATGATAGTATGGATATTTAGAGGAATTGTCAGGATCGAGAAATGTGTTAGACCCAGCAAACGAGTGGTGCCCAAAGGTGCCAATAATTGTGAGGATATCTAGCGCACGGTGCAGTCAAACAGTGTGGAGCAGATTTGGTGGAAACTGAATAATACTATTGCTAAGTCTGCACATTCTTTTTCATGCATACAAGACAAAAACAACACGTTTTTAATCACTTTTTTTTTTACCCATCACCGTGGTTTCTGTGACAGCACCCCTACCCCCATCCCGTGGCCACTCTACTCACATGTAGTCGAAAGGGCGCAAGTGCATAACAACATTGGCATCCATCTTGACGACCTCCACCGACGCGACGGGTGCATCTTTGGCATTGCCGGCATCGTCGGCGTGCCGGGACCCTCGATTGCCTTCCACTCGGATGTTGTTGAGGTGGCAGTTTTCCCGGATCATTTTAACGCAGGCCTCGTTGATGTCATTGATGGTCACCTTGACCGAGTTGCGAAGATGCTTAGCCCACTGTAGACCCATGATGCCTGCAGTGAACAGGGCGGGGACACAATCTGCTGAGTGAGCTCACACTCATAATTACACCCTCTGATTCACCTACTCTGCCCTGTCAGCTGAATGATGTCATACAGATGCTGGAACATACCATCTTACCTCTTCATAGTGACAAAGAGTTTGAGGTCCAAAAAAACAATTAAAAAATCTGCAGAACTATGAGCCTGGGACATACTGTCCAGAACTTACCTGTGGCACCAAAGGCATCGAGACACTCAAGAGGGTTTCTCTCTCCTGCCAGAACTGCCAACGAGCAGAACACAAGCTGTCTGCAGAAGGACATCACAACAATGCAGTCACTGCTCGGAGCGCACAAACAATAGAATAAAATGTCTTCTGGATACGGAAGTAAAAAGTTTGCTCAAACTCAAAAAAAACAATTCTGAATCCATTAATCTGACCGTCTGAAACTGAAACTGCAAGACCAAGAATCAAGTTGAAATCTCCCTCTCATAAAAACCTATGACCAATCAGTTAGGGAGGCCATCTGTGTGCAGCCCCTCAAGACCTGTTCATTTTCATTTTCCGGTTGAAGTATGTGTCACTCTTCTGCGGGGTGGTGTAGTTCGGAAGGAGCTGAACATTGGTCCCCAATTCTTTCATTATTTCATAGGTCTGTCCAGAAGGAACTGACAAGAAAATAATATTACGATTATTATAAATCTAAATGCCAAAAGAAATATTCTGTATTGCAAGGTGGGTTATGGTAATAAAATTCACACAGCTTTCAGCTTTAAAGTTCACCTATTTATACATTATATCAGGGGTGGCCAGTCTTATCTGCAAAGGGCCGGTGTGTATGCAGGTTTTTGGGATGACTTGTAGGTCAGCTGTTCAAACCCAGGTGTGAGGACTCCTCAGCCAATCAGTCCTCTAATTAGTAATCTAATTAGGGAGTTGCAGCGAAAACCTGCATACACACCAGCCCTTTGTGGATTACACTGTCCACCCCTGCAATATATGTTTAATGACGTGGTTCTGTAAGCTGTGCACAAGAGTTCTGCAAATACAGAACCAGCAGGTTCCTTTCTGGACTTAGACCTCCTAATCACGAGGCTATGCTGAAAGAAGAAAGGAGAGCAAGGTTTTAATGGCAGTGATGCGGGACTGACCTGGATCCTCAAAAGGCACCTCCGCGCTCCCAGTGTAGCTGGCCTCAGTCTCGCCCTTGTTCACGTGGCGCTTGAGGTGGCTGATCATGTCAGTCTTGCGGGCAATGGTCACTGAGCAAACCACGCAGTGATAATGGGCTACCAACCGACCAGTGGCCTAGCAAACAATTGTAACAGAACTAGTCATTCCTTACCAGCTATGCAATAACTGAGTGCAACGAGCCCAGCCCCTTGTTTAAACAGGATATGAAGAGTGATTTACAGGAAAGTACGGCAGACTGGATGGACCGGGGGGGGGGGAGAGACATACTGTCATGTCTCCAGAACCCTGCTTAGGTAGCCATTTGGCATCAGGACAAAGTTTAATGATTTGACTCTTGGGACCTCACCTGGTCTCCATTGGGGCTGGGCTTCAGCTGTCTGCAGGGCAGGTGACAGATGCACATTCTCTGACCTGAACAACCAGACGATTGTCACTTGTTATTAAAATTCATACATTTAGAACAAGTGACAGTGACAACAAACACCCAATACAAAAGACTCACTACTGGTAATAATTCAAAACACACTACACATGGTAAAAACATCGAACGCTGGGATCTAAACCTTCAAACTCCACGTAGACCTTCCAGTGTAGGTTCTGTAGGTGGCGCCGTAGTTTGTGACTGTAACAAGCTTTGAACTTTTCCTCTGGACAAAGTGGGCAGTTCTTTCTGCCAGCTGCACACAGAGCAGATTGCCTTAAGTACCATCCCACAGAAAAGATAGGCAACATGTGACAGCAGTACTGTAGCCTATAATCAGAGAAGGTGTCAGATAGTACTCTTTACTTGCCTCCATTAAGGTCTACCAGCTTTTCCAGGCCCTCCAGCTCAGTCTGAATCGATACATGTCTCTCTGAAATGGCCACATAATATAATTAAATCATGATCCATTTAATACCGTCTATAGGCTTCACATCGTATGCAGGGTGTACACACGGAAAAATAAATATCAACTGCTCTCTTTACCAGAGGAAGACACAGACGCGTTTCTCTCATTGTCAGAAGATGACTCCGTTTTTGCGCTACTGGCTGGTGTAGCAGGAATATCGACCAGGTCTTTGCTCTTCTCCTCCGGGTTGATCGCTGTGCGTTGAGGACCTCCATCGCCAACAGGAAAAAAGACGCGAGAGTATTTATTGGCCTCGGAAATTAAACCTGGCTTTCAGAAATTACGAACAGTTGAACTAGTTATTTGTGGAATACAAAAGTTGGAAAAAATAAATAGTGAAGATGTTTCTTGGCAGAAGTGAGGACACACCGTTACAGAATTCGGATTGCTATTTACAGTGCTTTTTAAAACCGAAAAATAGTTTCATTTGGCTTCTTTTACGGTAACCATAAAACGCACGACACCTTCCGTGCAATGTTGCGGATATTGGGAAAAATGTCGATTTCGGTGTGTTACATTGCATTCTAAAGTCAATAATTTATTAGTGTTAACGTTATAAGTAGTCAGACATTTAACAGGATAAAGTCATCATCGTGGCGCCTGATTTACTGGGGATACTACTTATATTGTACAGAAACGTTAGTTATAAATGCAGTTTATGTTGCGCAAACGAAATCGATGGACGGAAGCACGAAATCGAACATGTTCGGAACTAAGACGGTCCTCCTGCAGAGCTCCACGGTAAGACCAAGGCTCCTATAAAATTCAAATTAAGTGGGAATTAAAATTGGCAAGAGATTCAGTACTTCGAACACTGCATAACTATAAACCAAACTGCTTTTTGAGAATAACACTATTTTCAAAAATTAATATATTACGTGATTGTAATTATATACGAACTAGGTCCTATTGCGGAGCTCCGTGATGAGGCCCTCAACCACGATAGCCGCTAAAAAGTCGAATGCGAAAAAAATTAACAGAAGACGCCACATGATAAAAAAAACTGTATGCTTTGTTTCTTAAAAACGATCAATTTAATTAACATGAAACGTGCAGAACAATCCGTTTACTTACTATTTTTATCGACGGCCTCCTGATGTAGTTGAATAGCGTCTTCTTCCTTTTGCTCCGCCATTTTACTAAACTAGAGTAAAATTCGTATTTGCGCTTTCCACTCTACGTACTCTGCGTAAAGCAACAATATGTAGGAATGTGGGTACAGAGCAGTTTACATAGAAAATATGTTATACACGTATTATTACCAATTGATTTGGTAAAATAAATAAATAAAAATGGCTGAGGATTTAACATATATTTTATTCTAAATATTCTAAGTAATAATATTATTTTAAAGTATGAGCAAATTCTGCAATTTTATATACTGAAATGTCTATATGTTCTGCCTTTTGAAATAAAATAATCTAAAATCCTATTAAATTACCTTGTAGATCATTATTATTCTTCTAACAAGATTGAAAATGTAAAGTAGTCATTTGAGTACAGTCTTCAAATGCATTATTTATAAAAATGTATGGGGGGGATTCATCGTAATTATTGAGAGGGATCCATGCTGTATAAGACATGGACTTATATATACCATTTATGTCTCTATATAGTACAAATAATAATAATACAAAAAATTCACAAGTAATATAACATATCCAATTTGGGTTCAAAATCATGATATTTATATAAACAGCCGGAACAAAAGGGTGCTAAACAACTTTGCTTAAAGGATTCTCAGCAATCTGGATGAAAATAAGTGCAATTATCACAGGACAAGTTTTCGCCAATTAGATGGGCTGGTCGCTGCTGCGCAGGTTCAGAAAAACGCCCCGGCGCGAGTCACTCAACATCACGTGATACGTCCAGCAGCGTTACCCGGATGTGTGTTTATAACCGGGTACTAGTTGTTGTGGTCAGTCAATTTCCTTGTGTTTGGTTTGTTGTCCAATGGCGGACTTTACGAATCCGTTTAAATTCTTACAGTCCAGTAAAATGTCAGATTTGACTGTAGGATCTGGGAATATGAATACAGATTAGTATCCTAATTAGCTGATGAATTAGCTTGACCGAAAACGTAAGACAGCCAGTTAGCCAAGTACCTAGCTGAGCAATTAGCTAAACAGCGGGTTTAGGGGACGTCATTGCGTGACATGTTTGTTGTAATATTGTCGGATACTTTCCATTTTCAGTGAAAACATGATAAGCTACTGGAAAGGGCTGTCACGGCAAATACCTGTACTTTTAACAAAACCCATCTTTCTGCTGCTTATCCAGTGCACTATGTTTGTATTAAAAGTTTGTATTTGAATGATACCGAATATCCTGGAGAAAAACGTTATTCTTATTGCACCTACTTCCTAACCTTGCTGGGCTATATTAAAATATTTACGTTATTAGTTATTGTTCTTTTAAGGGAATTGTTTTGAAAATGAAGAAATCTTCCAAAAAGAAGAAGCGAAAGGAGAAAAAGGTGTCACCGTCATCTTTTAAAGAAGATGCCGAATTGGTAAATTTATCACGAGTTTGTTTTGTCTAGGGTGACCATGCATTCTATTCTTCCTTTACTTGTCTTCTTTTCTGGGATCTAAAAATGCCTGAAATGCCTGTGTTTTTGCTTTGTTTCACGTTAGCATTTCCTATCGTCTGTCGGAATGCGTTGCTTTGACGCTTCGCTTTGGGTCCTGCCCCAGATGCCCCATTTTTTTGCAAAGCAAAATATGCTCACCCTGGTTTTGTCAGCGTGTATCAGTCTTGCTGGGAATAAATAAATAAATATCCCCTCGGCTTTACCCCAGTACTCTGAAACACCACTCGGTGTTTTTTTATGCTTATGGCTGAAATATTTAATTATACACTATATCAGCATAATGTTATGTTTAAACTTTTCAGTCATCCTACATGAAGGACCACACCAAAAAGAAAGCCAAAGTTGGTGAAGAGGAGAGTCAGAGCACCAGTCAGTCCAGGTGAGAATGACAGGAGTTACAGGAGTCATTTTATATTCAGACAAGATATTTAGATAAATTATGATGCGCCATGTGTACTATTTTATTTTTTATTGAATTAATTTTTAATTATTTTTTTCCCTGACCAGTGATACTCTTATCTACTATAGGGATGTGAACAGCACTGTGAATAATGGTGCCTTTATTGCTCCTATGCAACTATGTGAGATTTTACATTCATAAAATCTCTTGTCTTTCACACTCCCAGGCTAGGTGTTCACCACCTGGTTTTCTTACCTGCATAACTTGTCAGATTTCAGGTATTACAGTTAAAATGGACTTTATCTTTGTTCACTTACATTCAGCCCTGCCTACATTAAATTCAACAAGTTATCTCGCTAACTTAAAAATCCAGTTTCGGGGTACAGGCTTCTAGTGGTCAGGCCACCTGCTTAATGTGGTGGGATTCAACCCCATGCTGTATAAGGTGGATGTTAAATGCAATACTATTTGGGTGGCAAGCATTAGCAGGATGGACCCAGACAGATCACCCACTACATATTTTACTAGTTGTGTATATTTGTCCAGCACTTCTTAAAATAAACAAATTATTAGGTACAAAAGATACATACTGACCATAAGGGACAGGGAATCTCCACAAGCCCAAGTTGACTGTTCATTACCATGCAAGAAATGTGAATCTGCTCTCTTTCCATGTTCACGAGTTGCATAACTTTTCATTTATTTTGATTTAGCTGACACTTTTGTCCAAGGTGTCTTTCAATGAGATAACACATTACAAACAACTTCAAGCTGCATTAATTTGCACTTATTTTCCTGTTGCTTGGAAAACTCAACAGTCATGGCTGCTTATGACCTTAATATATTTCAGCTTTGTTTATTATTCCTTAAAAATTGTGGTAGAATAATAGGAAAGAAGGCCTGGAAAATAAGTGCATGATGGGACTGCGGTTAAGCCTTGACTGGTTTGTCTGTGTATGTAGGGAAGTCCTTGCCCAGACAGGAAAATGGGGAAAGCTGAGGCAGCGGCATGCGGGGGGAAAGAACACTGTGGATGTTCCAAGAGATGGGAAAATAGGAAATGAGTAAAAGGCGTGTGACCCTGGTCCCGCATGGATACGAAATTATATTTATACTGGAGATTCTAATTTGTCCCACACATATGGTAAAAAATATAAAAAGTACTTGCATTAATTAATTAAACTAACAATGGTGTCTGTATGAGTAATTATGATATTAATAACACGGGGAAGCAGTTGTTTGAGGAGGAGGATTGAGGAAACCCGATTTATTAGAGATTGACAGAGTTAGGCACGATAAACCACTCCCACTGTGTGTAATAGTCACTTTGTGAGGGGAGGAGGTTCCTCGTGCATGAGAATTTAATAAAGAAGTCATCTTCAGTTACCGGGTGTCTATTTTGGATGCTTTTGTCTTTCCAAAGTCGATTATCCTCCACGTAATGCAGATGTTAACATTTTATAGTATAAAAATAACTCTAACCCATGTGTTTGTATCATTTCACAGGTGCATGCGTGATGAAGACCAAAGCAATCTGCTGCGAGACAGTCCCTCCTTATCGAGTATCAGTGGGGAGAACCTCAGCCAGGGGAAGGAGAGAGTCTACAAAAAGCCTGTTTACAAATTGGGGAGATTGAGCCTGTTGCAGAGTGGAGAGAGAGGCTCGAGGGGTAATGCAGGGGGTGACCTGAGCGAGTCACCCCGCATCTCTCAGAGTTGCTCATCCAAGTTGGTTCCATCTGGTCTGGATGTGTCCAAGCACTCAAGCGAGGAAAGGAGGAAGTTCAGCAAGAGGCACACTAGCGGGGAATCTTCCTGTGACAGCTTCAGCCACCAAGAAAGTGACCAGAAGCCGGAAAGGTATAATCTGAAGAGAAGATCTGGGACAGAGCTGGAAAGCCCAAGCCCACACCATCAGAAAAAGAGAGCCGGTGATTCCACCAGACACTCTTCACGCCAGCAGCCTGATACCTACAGGAAATCGGGTTCCCCTGGTGCAGACGCATACCGGCCAGCATTCCAGGGCAGAAAGGGCCCAGAGCTGTCAGGGAGCAGCCGAGACCAGACGCCATGTTCGAAACCATGGCAACCCATCAGATTCAAAATACAGAAGAAGACAAACCTGGTGCAAGGCAGCCATGTAATCTGTGAACAGCCCTTAAGCAGACATGCAATCAAAGGCGTCAGAACAAGCACTGGTGCCTTGGAATCTGAATGCCCCCCCTATACAGACAGGACAGTAGTGAAACATGCACTTCTGGGTGTGAAAGATGCAGTAAAGAGATGGCCCAAAGCCAGTCCATCGTCAAAGGGGGGGCGAAAGGGAAGCCCCCCTCGTCCGGAAGTGCCAGAACGGGCTCACAACACTGACTCACCGGTAGGAGCGGTGGCAATCCTTCCTGTCTCCTGTAGCCAAGCATTACTTCACATTTGGCTACTATTTACCTTTTGGAATCATTTCGCTTTATGTAATCGTTTGAGTCATGTGTTTATTCATATGTGTATTTTTCGTGTGCTTTGCTGCAGAAAGAAGGTCACAGAGTTTTTCCTAGGACCACTGAAGCCTCCAACAATGATCAGGAGGTACCAACGGTAATACTAACAGTGCTGTGATGTAGGGCTGCACTGTGTATCATTTCAACATCGTCATGACGATGTGCGATAATTATCACAGGAATGTGTGATGTCATGTAAGGCAAATTATATCAGTCACATCATGCTACTACTTTCTTGCAGCTTGACACAAAAGGTCATTTTCTATGACTAATCTCTGAGAGAAGTCTGTTCGATATAATTTGCTAGTTTGTTACTAGGGAGTGACATGCAGGCTCTGTATGCACAGTGAAACATCAGTCACAATCATTCATAATAGAGCTGTACAATGTGCAGTATTAATTTTGACATTGCGTATTATACACTACGGCTGGGCGATGGACAATGACATGGGGTGGGTAGTGGGATGGGTCGTCTTGAAAAGGTAGGCCAACTATAAATACTTCCTTTAACACTTTTTAAATGATTATTCATAAATTCATTAAGTTTTATTGATTAGTAATTACTACTAATTTATTACCGTTTCTATTTTTTGCACATTTCAGCCCCTTCACAACCCCTCCCTTACTCACCTGGTCTTGCCTTACTTTTCCTCCGTATAACCTACCGTGAGACTCAAAACGCATATTCAGTACTTAAACTTGTTTGTTTTGGATGTGCAAGTGAATGCACTCAAAATACCAAGTTTACTGTAAATACTTAAGTACACAATTGGAAATCCCGAGTTTTAGCCTAATACGGTGTGCTGTTCTGTTTTTTCTAAATAAAGGTGTGATCGGGAAAAATGACTCATGTATAGTAACATTTTATTTGTCTTTTATGTTTATTAACTAATCAGATAAAGTAATTAGTTTAAATCTTAAATCTTCAGTTGTGCTCTACTTACCCCCTGGTTTACTGGGACAGGTGCAAACCAGGTGAATTTTAAAATACTTTGAGCCACTATTTGTTTTTGCTGTCGGACTCACTCATGCACAGTGTGGCATATTTGTGAAATATTTGACAAAAATGAGCGAGGAAGACAAACGCGAACAAGAACTGGTCACCAAAAGACATTTGCCTAATGCTGCATAAGAATATTTTGTGTTCCGTAGAGACGGTATTGAGCAAAAACAAGTAATTTGATGGTACTGCTTTGTATCTGACACTCACAGCAATCACCGCCACTTATTTGACACATTCTATTGGTAGATAAGTTCTATCTGGCTATAGTTCATTTCGGGTAAACTTAATCTTTTTCGTTTAATAATTTTTGCAGTATTAATCACAAAACTTTCAAATGTTATGATGTGATTTTTATATATATTTTTTTTTTTGCCCCAATATCGTGCAGCCCTACCGTGATGGGTTGGTGCCCAGTCTTGGGCTATTCCTTGTGTTTAGCCTGTAGCTTCCAGGTTAGGCTCTGGACTCCTGTGACCCTGCATAGCACAAATGGGTATAGAAGATGGATGGATGGATAATCATACAGTATTACCTAATAATAATACAGTAATCACATGCATACTGCAGTGTGTGTGTGCCCACTTGCATCCCCGGTGTTGTGTATGTGTTTCAGACTCAGGTGGTGGAGGAGTTACATCGAGCCCGATCTCAGAATGAGCTGCGGGTCAACATGGTGGAGAGCTACGGGGAGCTGACCGCCATGGACATCGACCTGTCGGAGGAGTTCACCAGTTCATCTTCAAGTGAGATCCCTCCTAGTGCCGAATCATTTGCTTTCAATAGCAGTGCTTTTTAATGCGATTTCCATACTCTTTCATAAACCGTGTGACGAGGGGAAGCTCCATTCTTGTATTTGTCCTGTAGTTTTGAGTTTGAGTCTCTTCTCTTTGCAAATGTGTGCCTGTGTATTTGTTCCTGAAATGGCAGATAAAGAGGAAATCCTGCATGAACCTCTCATCGTCCTTGACACCAACATCCTCCTCAGTCACCTGGACTTTGTCAAGAAAATGAAATCGCTTGGCCTTGGAGGTACAGGGCATTAAGGCTGAGTCCATTGCTTCCTATGGGGTAGGATTAGCCAGCTGAAGCTCAGAAACCACTGAAGCTTAGTTGCATCATTTGCTGCATTGTCAAAAATGTCCCAGAAGTTGCTCTCTGGAAGCTTTTTCTCCTGAATTTGAATCCAGTTTGGTGTATAGAACATGGCTTCTGTGGTCCACTTCTCCAGGAAAACATGGGTGTGCCCCCCCCCCCCACATTCATAGTGAAACATGTTTGTTGTCCACCAGCTGTAGGATTCCCCATCATCCTGATCCCCTGGGTGGTGATGCAGGAGCTGGACGCGCTGAAGAACGGAAAGCTGTCTAACAGTGTGGCGTGCAAGGCGGGCCCTGCCGTCCACTACATTTACACCTGCCTGAAGAACCAGGAGCCGCGGCTGTGGGGCCAGTCCATGCAGCAGGCCGCGAAGACATCCTGTGAGTGCCGGCTCCGTCTCCAAGCAGGCCTGCTTTTTTATCCATAAGACTGTTAGCCTGTGCTCTTTGTAATACTATTCTTGAACATTTCTCTATTGCTTAACGCTAGGGGTGTGAACCTTAACATGGCACAATTTCACCTGATACTGTGTGATGTGCTCATTCACAATCATGAGATTTGGGATAAAGGATCCCCGCAAATCCTTATGCATCCTTAACATCAACTCATAATAAACTGCTAACCTGAATGATAATGTTAAAAGTATGTTCGGGTTATTCGATTGCAGTCCGCTTGCTGATTTAGTATGCAGGTGCTAGCTAAGTTGCATACTTGTTGGTATGGTATGTTCCCTAAGCCAAAGCTGAAGACCTGCCATTACAGTTCTTTCTAGGATATCATGACTAACCACCATTGTTCCTCCAACAATGGACATAAACGCTTTCATGGCAATTACTTATAACAATAAATTATACCCAATATCATGTGTTAATAATTTAAATATAAACTGAAAGTAAAGCTGTCATAAAATATTTGGACGAAATAAACATGCTAATAAATGCAATTGACCTAAAATAAAACATGAATTTTTTCTAATAAATAACATGTGACCTCTTTTGGCTGTTATGCGAAATCTCCTCCACAATACGAATTCCTTCCTCTTGTTGTGTGTCAGTCAGCTGTTTGGCTGATGATGCAGTCGTGATGATGCAGTCGTGATGACACAGTCGTGATGATGCAATCGTGAGTTAGAAGTTACTCTGTAAACTTCAGTTTCACCCTTACTGCAGCACCAAGTTTTTTCATCAATAAAATACGTTTCTGAATATTCTTAAAAAGATGATTTTGTTAATTATGATAAATTGTTCACATTTAGCATGATGCTATAACCGATTGTTTATTAAATTAGATTATTAAAATATCTTTAGCTCCATAGCGTGATGTTTCATTGATTATTACCATACTGTACTGAAACTGCAGCTAACAGTGAACCCAAAATTGAGGTTTGTACTGAATCCTTAATTTTGTTTACCATTACACCCCTAGTAAACATAAAAAGCCAAGCTGAAAGAACATTTTGAAAAGAAATCGTTAACATTGCTAGTTTGCAAGCTGTTTCAGCCTTTCCTGGTAATTATGCTCCTTTGCTTTGTATGCTGTATGTTTAATTTCAATTTGCTTTTAGCATTTAACGTCTACACTCAATCTCATTTTGAATAAACTATGTGCACATGTACTACAGACTTATAAATCACAATGTGAAAAAGGTAGTTTTCTGTTTAGAATTTCACAACAAAAATGCAAGTGTTACTGATTCATGACTTCAATATTGTACAAAATAATTGGGACGCTTATGTTAGTGGTTATTGATCAGCTGTAGTTTGCAGTGTGCTATAATGGGTCAGAATACTTCATGTGGTGGTTACAACATATGAGGAGGATTTCATTTGATATCCTGTAGAGGGCAGCAGCTGATCCTTTGAGCCGGTTGCAGTTGGGGTCTTTTTTAGTGTATAGGTTGAGGCTTTTTTTCGATGACTAAGTTGGTTGCAATCGGTATCAAGGTTCCATGCCAATTTGGTGCGATGCTGTGCGCTAAGTCGAGGATCAACTCCAGAAAGTACTGTACTTTGTTAGTTGCAATCGACCCTTTATTATCAACAGGACTGTGCTGTACACTATGAACGTGAAATTGCTTTGTCATTTCCAATCCAGACATTTTTTACAGTGTGGAAGAAAACAAGACTGAGGAATGTTAATAGAGCTAGAATGCATAGACTCTGCTGTAAATTGCTTTTATTAGAGGTGTCTTCTTCTGTCGTACTCCTTCCCGGCCTTAGCTAGTGAGATAAGGAATGCCCACTCTCCTTCCCAGTCTGGGCTGGTTTTTCCCCCCAGTCTTGGCTGGTGAGACAGGGAGCACCACTTCATTTTAAATTTGTCCCAGGTGCAATAGGTAGAGAGAAAATGTTCTGCAAAACTTTTATCTCTGAATTACACAGTAATCCGACTCTCCGTTAAGGCCCTATAACTGCCCTGAAAAATTGTTCCTCTGTGCTCACTGCCCCAACACTTGTTGAGGTGTGTGTGTGTTTGTGTGCGTGTGCGTGTGTGTGTGTGCGCGCGTGCGTGCGTGCGTGTGTGTGTGTGTTTTCTGCTTGAGCCGTAAAGAGGAGATTGCGGGAAGGGCTGTATTATTGTGGCTTCTTAGTCCAAGCAGAAAATAAAATATTCTCTTCATATAAGAACCAAGTCACCAACAGTATATGCAAACCATCTAAATTATGACCCTGTATGTACAAAGTTACTGCTGTATGCACTAGGAACACTATGTTTTGGACCCATTATTAAAAATGTAAAATAACGGCACTGAAAAGTTTAAAAATTACTGCGAGAACCACAACATTCCACAAGCACAAAGGCAACTAACATGTGTCGGGCTGGTTTGATGAGACAAAGATGTGAAGCGTATTAAATCCAATTCTTTGAATATTAAAGATATAGTATGTATTTACACTAACAAATATTATGTATGACTAATATTTATATATTGTGGTTTTTATGTGATTCAAATCATTTTCAGTATTATCTTTGGCTTACGTGTCATCTGTGAGTTTCTGCGACCTGGCAAGCTCCATAAACATTCTCATTTAATTGTTCACGGCCAACTCGCAAAAAAGAAGTGAAACCACGAATGTCAATGTGCTTATCTTGAGGAATTACTGTACTTCAAAAGTTTTTGAAAAAATGAGATAACATGAATTGAATTTTCACCAGGAGAGGGCGTCATTTCTTAGAATGTCTCCAGGGTTAATGGCAAACTGGGATGGGGTAGCAAAGGATATAATACAAGTGGTGGACACAGAAATTAATATGGCAGGCGTCAATAACAGGTTGAGGAAAATACTGACGTTAATTTCTGTGACTCCTATACATCTGGCATAAATGGAAAATACTTTTTGATGCCATCACAGAGTCGGTGTTTTACGTATTCATGGTGTGCCTGAGTGGAAGATGTGTAATGAGGAACAGAGCTTAAAAATGTCACTTTTCGGTGGAGCTTTTCCTCAGGCACTTCCCATTATAAACAGACCCCAATGTGCTCTTTAAATATGGTTATTCATGAGAAACAGCAGGACCAATTCAGTACTATGCAGGCATCAGGGCAAGCAATATGGAGGATGGAACAGAAGTGGTAATATGTATTCCTGGGGAGAAATCACATCAGCTAGGTGAATGAGGTTGACAGGGAGGACATGGGGTGGAGACAGGAAGTTCTCAAGGTTACAGAGGCTTCAGCAGACTGACGTCACCACTTCCCTCAACACAGACGTTGCCATTTTGAATACATTTATAACATGAACTTGCCACTTTCTGGTTTTGTCCTTTCATTGCCCATCCATCTAGTCATGTGGAGGAGGCCTGGAGCCTATTCTGGGCAACTTAAAGGCAGGGGAGACCCACGAAGACGCATACATGGGTCGAAGTGCAGGGTTATTTATCCATTATAATTTATTGAGCAAGGCTTTTAAATCTAGGGGCGGTTGGAGTTTTTGGCCTTACTCAACGCCTGAACTCTGCTGCCTATGGGATTTGAACCAGTGACCTTCTGGATGCAGTTTAAACTTCTAACTCGGAGAGCCACACACCACCCATAAATTTAAAATCCTGCATCACTGTGGGAATGTTTTCTAATGTCTGATGCCTTTTTAAATGTCCCCTAATATATGAAAATGTTAGAAATCTGCCAGGGTGGCTAGATGCCCTGTGCAGCACATCAGTGGAGAGGGTAAAGTGTCCTTTAAGGCGAGCCGGCAGCTGAAGGATCTTCCTTACTGAGGGATTGTTGTGTTGGCATGAGAGAGAATGAGTCGGTGTGGAAGGTGAGGGTTAAACTGAATGTGTAAAGGTATCAGTTAAGGTAAGACGACCTTGTAATCAAGCTGCTCTCTTTGCTTTTAGATATGCTTAATGCGGAGAATAATGATGACCGAGTACTGCAATGCTGTCTGCAGTACCAGGTTATATACCCAGGGGGCACTCTCATTCTCTGCACGTAAGTTTTGGTCTCAGTATAATACAACAATGACATTCTGTGCTCATTAGCATTGTTTAATATGAAGGTTAAGTGGCTTTTATGCCCGAACTGTGTGTCTCGTAACAACGCTAAAGGCTTTCTGTATGCCAGCCTCTGTTAATGGCTTGCAAGTGATGAGTCATTCTTTTTTTTTTTTGTTCGTTTTATTATTCAATCGTGTGCTGCGCAGCAACGACAAGAACCTGTGCAGCAAGGCCATACTGAGCGGGGTCAGAGCTCTGAGCAAGGATGACCTGGAATCCGAGGCGGAGAGGGTCAAGCGCGGCGTCCAGGCCAGTGGCTGTCTGAGTTCCTGGGGGCCCCCGCCTGCAGAAAAAGGTCAGTCAGAAAGGTCAGAAAAAGATCACTGCATATCATATGAAATATTAGTCCTGCAAGCAAATGGGCACCATAAGAAAAGTATTTCTTTACTACTTCCAGATAATTCTTCTGCTGTTCTTCCTGTTCTATTAAATTTTTAAATTTTAAATAAGTTTTTTTCCAACATTAAGAAAAACTTCTTTTAAAATGGCAACTTTAGATTTCAGAACTTTATTCGTATGCACAATGTTCTTCCCTACAGTACATCGCCCCCATACAGCATCTCTGTATCAGTTTAATGGAAAGTGGAGCGCCTATATTTTTGGGGGTGTTAAAAATAATACTCTGGGGGTAAAATCCGGGGTTATACTGCCCAAGCCTCCTGTCATCGCAGCTCCTGCCTCATTGCCCAGAAAACTGGTTTCAATGTTATGCTATATTTTCCTTTTGCTGTTGAGACTTTTGTTTCCTATGTCTTGCTCATTCTTCTAAGGCTATACTGGTGCTCTGCTTTCTTTCAGCAGTGCGTCTGCTGCCTTCACCCGCATTTCTAAAACCTCTTACCGCACGACCGGATGCTGAGGGACAGAAGTGTCGTGGCTATTGTACTTTTCAGCTGTTTTTTTTTTTTTTTTTTTTAATGTGCTGCTAACAGCCGGGAACAGAGGCTTTGAGACGGGGAGGAAGACGGCCGCAGTGGGTTCCTGTGAGCTCGGCCCCTGCGTCTCTGTGCTGGAGGATGCCCTGCAGGAGGTGCTGTCAAAGGTGCTGATGAAGGAGATGAAGGTTGCCTATGGCGATCTGTGGGAGGAGGTAAACACTGTCGCTCCTCATAGGATTAATATGTGATTGCTGTAGTTGAGTCTGTAAATACAGTAATGAAACCATGGTTCCTACTGAGATTGTGCTGTGGTCTGTCTCGCATCTCCTCTAGATTGTGTTTGTGAAGCCACCTTGGACCGTGTGCGACCTCCTGCGGTGCTATACGAAGCACTGGATCGCTGTATTTGGAAACGTCTTCCAACGGAATCTCCTGCGCACTGTTCAATGTCTGAGTGACATGCTCTGCAAAGGTACTAGTCGCACTGCAGTGCAGTTGTCTGGAGGTGGCGCTGTGGCTCAGTGGGTATCCCTGTAGCCTCACACCTCTAGGGTTGTGGGCTTGATTCCCGCTTCCCTCAGTATATATGGAGTTTGCGTGTTCACCCCCAGTTTGTGTGGCTTTTCTCTGGGTACTCTGGTTTCCTCCAGCAGTCCAAAAGCTGAATTAGTGTCTCTAAATTGTCTGTGAGTTTGTGTATGTGGCGTCCTGCATCCGCTACTGAATCCCTGTGCTTCTTGGGATTTGCTCCAGACTCACATTTGTAAAGGATAAGCAATTGGAGGATCGATGGGTTTTGCTATAAGAACAGGGCGTTTCGTTTTATTAATGGCAGTTATTTGCGTTAAAGCACAGCTGCTTTATGCTGACCTTTGGGGAAAGGCACAGGATGAAAGCCCGAGTGTGTTTGCGTTCCTGTTTTTCCGGCTACTCAGCACCCAGAGAGTGAGTCCGAGGCCCGGAGTGACCCAGTTCTGTTTAGCTCCATGCTAGTCTCCAGGGCTTGGCCAGGCCCTCCCATGAAAGGGCGAGTGGAAAAGTACCAGCGCGGCAAGGCGGAGGCCAGCTGACATCCTAACTGTGTCCCGGAGGAGCAAAGGGCCGCACCCCTGCGCCCGTTACTGCCTGCTCAGATCAGTCATCCCTTTCACCCATAAACCAAAGAAAACCTCACATTTATCTCAGACACAAAGGCTTCTGGGAAAGTAGAAGTGTGGTGAAAAAAGGCCTGTAATATATATTTTTTGCCTTTCAGTTTAGGATCAGCTTTGTGTCAGTGAGCGCTGCTTCAATAACCCTCTTTATTAACTGTGCCTGGAAATATTTTCAATTTTCATTTTACAGACAAAAAGTTAGATGCTTTACACTGTAAAAGTCGTCCTTTCGGATCCATTCGAGAGTCCAGTCCCAAACTCCACAGGCTTGTGACGCACCTGTGCTATGATATCAGAGCCAATCCAGGGAGATTGCCCAATTTGTCTGAAGAAATTGTCCCCCACACACACACATACACACACACACACACACACACACACACACACACACACACACACACACACACACACACCTGAAGATGATACACTTGGTTACCATGAGCAGCAAACAACTGGGAGAAAATCACTTTTTTTTCCATTTTTTATAATTTTTTTTCCCTTCCCCTTTTATACGACAGGAACCCGCAAAAATTTCTGGGCAGAGTCACTGTGGAAAAATATAACAGTTCTAAAAAACCTAATCAAGACTCTTGACAAGTAGTGAGTTTTTCCAGTCTGTTTTGCACCAGGACATAAAGAACATAGTGGTGTATTTATAGCAGTGATGTTATTGCGGCGGTTTTGCTGCACTGACGTGTGGGCCGGTGATACAGTCCTGCCTAAAAGGCTGTGCCCCCCCCAGGCAGGATGCTGGACAGATGTGCCGTCAGGCGGGCGGCTCTGGAGGCCCAGCAGCTGCTGCGTGCGTTCGGGCGGCGTTCGGACTATGAGGGCCAGGTCGTCCGGTCCCTGTCGGCGCTGGAGCCCCTGCTGCAGGAGCCCTGCAAGGTAGGGATGGGACCTGGAAGTCCTTTCAGAAGCTTCCGGTCACAGGCAGTACGCATAACGCCCACTTTCTTACTACGATGACTCATTCACAGTCTGTAGTCCATTTTACTTTTATGTCTTTTTTTCTTTTGATCTACAAATTAGTATGAGTGATTGCTTTAAGTTAGGATTTTCAAGCCTGAAATCATTACCATTAAGTTCATTGTACATATTCAGCACACACTTTTATTCAGAGAGAGACGTGGTCAGACACTGCCTGGGGCAATTGGGGGTTAAGGGCCTCGCTCAGGGGCCCAGCAGTGACATCATTTTGCCGACCCTGGGATTTGAACCAGTCACCTTTCGATCCTGGACACAGTGCTATTCCTGTGAGCTGCACACTGTATACATAAAAAACCGGTATTGTATGTCTAAATGCAGCCATGTCATTTCAGCGATGCTCATCTGAGGTTGTATGTGTGTGTGCATGTGTGTGTGTGTGTGTGTGTGAGTGCGCTTTTAGCCAGAAACGGATGTCCCTGCAAGCCCACTGATTTCCCCAAACATCGATGCCATCATGTCCGAGGAGGAGGGATCGTTGGAGACCCAGCCCTCACATCTTGAGGTGTGGGAGGTGTTTGAGAACATCTGGAGTAACGCGTGCCAGATCAGGTGATCAGAAATCCAAAGCAGAGAAGCCTGACTGGCTACAGCGTTTTCGGCCCAGCACAGCTCTGAATGGCTGTGCCCCCCCCCCCCCCCCCATTTGTTAAGGGGATTGTGCTAAAATAATCCCGAGCGTAGAGCTTTAGAGAGTTCTGGGAAACAGGTTTCCTTCAGCGCCTCTAGTCTCTTTCAACCTTCCATCGAATTCACGGTGCCGGTTTGTATACCTTGTTCAGTACTAGTAATTAGTGCATGATTATGTGAGTCAGTCTTCCTAACTATACATGTGATGCAGAATGGTGACTCTAGGTTTTTTTTTTTCTCCCCTCCCATCCCCGTGGCCCAGCTCTGCTGTGTTCACGGCTCTCCAGTTTGACCCAGGCTCCATGGAGACCAGCATGCCTGAGAGCAGGCCGCCCCCCCCGGAGGGTGCCCTCTCCTGCCTGTGCTCGCTCGCCGGTACCATCCGCCAGCTGCTACATGCCGTCCACGGGTACGGCCCCCCCTGCCCCCCTGCCTGCATTAGCTCTGATAGCCCTTTAACCCTCAGTTTGCCTTCTGAATGTCCTTTTCCACCTTAATCTTCTTTGTGACTGTCTGCTCATCCTGTGACTTTTTACCCTCTGTGTCCTGCTGTCACTACCACTGGTCATTCTGTTGATCACTGGTCACCAACTGGCGGACTCCAAACCAGAACATAATTGAATTATGCACGATTGATTTGCCCCACCCTTGCCCACTGGTCTGCATTTTTTTCCCCCCCACTTGAAACGGTGGACCTTGGCCTTGTTTTGCTGGTAAAATTTGGCCCTTGAGGAAAAATATCTGGGGACCTCTGGTATAGATGCTCTCCGATAATCCTGCCCAGTCTGCCACACTGGGATTACTCCGCTCTTCTGTCAGCCCTACCTGTATGATACACCATCCTGTTGGCACTCACTGTACAGTGTGGTAGCCCTTCTCTCCTGGTGCTGAAACTGTTTATCTTGTTCTTGTACACTCTGTCTTCACAAGCATAGTCTGAGGTCAGACATTCTCGTTTCTGGGAAGCTTGCTACATTTAATCTAGTTTCTTGATGGAGTATCAATACTAGAATGAGACGGTGAGGTCAGTTTAAGTTTTAATTTAAGTTAGAGGGCAAATGGAGGAGAGACTGATTGTGCAATTCACCTGTTAGCATGAATGTGTTTCAATGAAAACCAGCAAGTGAATGGATGGGGTGACGTTGCAGTCCAGAGCAGGTGAATGAGTTGTTTGTTCAGACAATCGGAAATGTTGATGAACATATCATGGGATTTTTTTTTCTTCAATAGACCATTTTCTCCTTATTGTAAAAGTCCTAAACGTTGTGGAACAAATTTTTGGAACTGACCATCAAGGATTAATCTTATAAGACTTGCCCGGTGGATAAGATAAATATTTTGGCAATGGATGCTTCCTTATAGGGATGAATAACTTCTTGATCGTAGTGCTTGTTGCTAGATTGTAAGGTGAAATGGCCGGAATGTGGAAGAAGTTTTTAAAACTGACCATCAAGGATTAACCTCACAAGACCTGCCAGGTGGTTAGGGTAGTAAAATACTTTGGCAAGCTGTGGTTCTATGTGAGGAATGTCTATAGAAATGTTTAAAATTACCCATGTTCCTGTAGTAAGTAAGGTAAGGCAATGGAACCTAGCCAAGAAAAGTGCAATGCCTGAAATGTTCATGGAGGGGAGACCATCTAGAAATTGCTTGTCTCTTTGTATAAATGAGAGCTCGGACCTCCTTTCATTGAAGCTGTCAATGGTCACTCCTTGTGTTTCACTCTGCTTCCGTCTCCAACAGAAATAAATTCCCATCACTTTAGAACCAGGTCTCCGGCCAAAATTTCTGTGACAGCTTTTAGTAAAATGGGTTGATAAAAGTAATGGCCATGCATTGGTTTAATTGAAAACCTTATATGTCAAAATGAGATTAACTGCTGTAATTTGTATTGGACACGGCGAAATAAAGAAAGGGGACAAATCTGGATGAGTAAAATGGCTCAACGCATCACTGTGGATTTAAGGGAGGTTTTCAGGGAGTCGGGCCATACCGAGATGGTACCTGATCGTAATGCCCCTGGCCACCAGTCCAAAGAGATTAACAATGATTACTGCTCTGGTTGGGACTTAAAGCCTGCTGGTTAGTTCTGACTTTTAATCACCAAATAGGTGATGAAACTCATCTGCCTGAACATATGTTCCATTGTTGTCTGTTCCTGTGAACGTGTAGGCTTCCCTTATGTGCTCTGGTTCCTTTCTGCTGTCCAGGAAAAACGGTGACTAACTTGACCATAATTTATGATGGTGTGAAAGAATGCGCTTGTCTGTCTGCCTTTGAGGAGACTGGCGCCCTCTCTGTTGGGTGGCCTGTTTTATCCTCCTCCTGGTGTAGGGTTACCATGACACTCATTAGCTAAGCCCTTTGTGAGAATAATCGTTAACCACTTTCTGTACCAGTTGGCAGGTTTGTATGATTGGGACCTTGAATATTTGTGAGTTTTTATGATGCTGGTTTTGACGCTTCCTGGTTTTCGTGGTTTTTGTGAAATGCAATGTGTTTGCCAGCATTGGTCTCCACACACAGCCAAAGGGATTCTTCAAAGTGTATGACACGTGTGTTTTAGCGAAAGCCATTGTGATTTGTAAGTAAGCTCCAATACAGGTGAAATCCCTTTCCTCTGAATTTTCTGAACACCGTTTTTGTGTCATTCATGATAGCGCACTCTCAGACCCTGTCTTGCGTTCAGCATTTTCTTGCACGTATTGGTTCCTATATTCAAGAGGATCTACGACTAAATGTTTATAACCAGTTATCAGTTTGTGGTCAGAAACATATATGTTGGTTCTCTGTTGCCAAAGAGCTGTCAGTAGGCTTATCTGACCTATGTGAGTGTGGTCTAGTTACACTTCTCGTGCCGTGTCTCGAATGCGTTCATTCTCACACGATTCCTGCTGTGCACGGGGATCCCTTCTTGTTCCCAAGGAGATCAACACCATGACTCAACACAATGACTCACCCACTCCCACGACTCGCTTCATTATTCAGCAGCTGAAGAAGATGGAAGTATTTATAATGCAGGGGGTAGCCTTCTTAATGGCACCTCTCACCCCCCCCACCCCCCATTCCATTCCCCCCTTTTCTCTCTCTCTCCTGTTGTTTTTTCATCCCCAGAGTTCAGGGGCAATTGACTTGTTTGCAAATTCCTTGTCAGGCTGATGAAATGCTGCTACTGTCGGCATCCTGACTGAAGCCTTTCGTCACTTGATCGATTGGGCTTTTTTTCTTAACTTGATCCTTTTTGTACTTTGGTCCTGCATGTCCATCATGCTACCGATGATATTTCGGTGTAATTATTTCCGTGCGGTGATATAATTAAAAATGAGATGTCAGTGATCTGTGTATCATCAAAAGGTCAAATAGTCAGTTGGTCAGTCCTGATGATTTATTTTGATTTGTTATTGTGAAAGCAGCTCTTGTATAATTTTGAATAGGTCACTATTTATGTCACTCTGGCCCACATGGAGAAAATAAACCCTAACCCTAACCCCCAATGGGTTACATGCTTTACTTTAATTGCCGTTCTATGTCCTGCCTAATATCCTCATTTCTCACTTCTGTTTTTAAAATAAGCTTGTCATCAGTTGAAGCTCATGTCATGAATAGTGTGAAATATTTTGCTTGCAAAATGTTCTCTCTCCCGAAGAGCTGGATAGCTTGTTTGATTACAGGTCACTGATGGCATGTTGAAGGACCCAGATTCAAACCTGTATCCATTCTGTTGTTTTGGATGTGGTGTGTGATTTCACCACTGGGACCTTGAGCAAGGCCCTTATTGCTCCAGGGATTGGCTAACTCTGCTTTCTCAGTTGTATGTTGCTTTGGATAAAAGCATCTGTTTAATCAGAGGTGGGGAACCTGTTCCCTGGAGAGCCGGTGAGGGTGCAGGTTTTTGGGATGACCTCAGTCAGCCAATAATAAAACAGTGGCCAATAAAACTCCAGCCCTGGGGAACCATTGTCATTGGCTGATTGAGAGGCCATCCCAAAACCTGCACCCACACTGGCTTTCCAGGGAACAGGTTCCTCACCTCTGTGTTAAATAATTGTAAATTATTTTTGCATTTTAGGACTTCCTGCATACAGATCTGAATATCATTTTTCAGAACAATGAGAACCTTAACAGCTTTTTTGATGCCTTTGGCGTGGAGGGTGAATGGTACCTTTGAAATATCCATTTTAAACATGCCGGAATTATCCTTGCTCATGCCACATGTGTTCAGTGATCGTTAAAACGGCCCAGTAGAGGATGTTTGATGTTTCATACTAAGACTGTCTGTCGATCTGCCCTTTCAGAGTGCTTGTGTCCGACTGCTCCTTTGAGGACGTGCAGTCTCTGTTCACCTTCATCTGCTCCACTGAGGTGAGGTCTTCCTTCTCATCCTGCTCAATGGGTGTTCAGTTTGAGCTCCCTTTTATGTTCTTAGGCAGTGTGCTGCTCTGTCGGATTTAACTATAACCGTCGGTACTTTGGAACCACTGGAAATTGTAGTTTTTCTCTGGCAATCTAGTTATGAGCTGATAACTGCTAAGCAAAGTGTTTTTATAAAACACCTTGTATTTCTAAAGGGTGAAGCTGATATAAGAACATGCAAGAACCATAAAATAGGCTACTATATGCAGTATATGAGGATTAAAATAATCAGTGCTAGTAATACTGTTACCCCATGGTTAATCTTCAATTTTTCATATGAACATTTTTGTATCCAAATGTATTGCATTGGTTGCAAACCAAGAATAAATACTGAAAATGTATGCAATGTGCCCAATAGAAATCAATGTCAAAATCAATGTTCCATCAAGTGTCAAGGTTTTCTGAGGTTGAGGAAAGTTGACATGGAAGTCGTTTCTCCTGGATTAACACTTGGGGGGGCTTCTGATCTGAAGAGGGATGGTTGATGTTAATGTTTGTGTGTTATCCTTTGCTGCAGATCACGTTGGCGAAGCCAAGGTTCACTGCCAAGGACCTGTTTCAGTGTCTTTCCCAACATGAGTACAGGTGTGTGGAAAAACTATGTGCTTTCAGTCAATGCAGCTACATGGGGTTGGCTTTGTGACCTTTGAAACACATTTGGACACATTAACAAGAATATGTAGAAATCCTGTCCTGTGTCCTATAGCCCAGTCAACATCCCACTGTCTTGATAAGAAAATTGAGGAGATTCATGGGGTGGCTTTCATTTGTCAAGCTGTGCGGTTCATTTTCCCGAGTCTTCGACACTCTGCAAGCGCGTTGTTCTGCTTTGCTGGGGCTTCTGAAAGCACCACTGCTAAGTTTTTACAACAGGAGGAAAGTTCCCTTCCAGATTAGAAACCAAACCTTTCCATTAAGATTTTACCTTTCCTAGTTAAAGCATAGTCTGTTCATTCTAGGCACGTTGTGGCTGAACAATATGAGCCATGCTCATTAGCGTATTGATTAGCGGGACTTAACGAGCTGTGTAATTCAATCAAAATTACAGATTAAGGCCTACATGTGCAGAACACCATGTCCCTCTAATCAAACTGTTGGTAGGCTGTTATTACGTTGGATAACAATTCCATTTGTCAAGCCTGCTATTTATGCAAATTGCCCACAGGCATTGTTGGGGGCTGTCATTGTTTATGCAGAGCACTAAACAGAGAATGAGCTAATTCTGGTTTGGAAAGGTATTTCATGCTCATGAAAGGCTAGATTTGAGCCTTCAGATTTGAGGTTGACCATTTTGAAGTTTCCTGGCTGGATTTGGTGTGTAGCTGAAATTAGTTTATTTTTAAGGCTCTCACTTGGTAGAGGTTGTGCTGCTCTGACTCTCAGGTGGGGGAGAGAAAGTGTATGTTTGATCATTTCAGGTACAAAATGTAACAGGGACCCTCCTTGGCATCATGGTGCCGTTCTGTTGCCCTCGGGCTGGAGGTTGTAGACTCTGATGCTGCACGGGTCCTCCTGAGTACAGGAAGTTGGGAGCAGCTGCAGCAGATGTATCTAAAATGGAAGCCTCATATAAGGATCACAGTGGACTTATGTGAAGACGCACAAGTCACAAAAAATAGTTCCCTTTGTGTTTGTTCCAGACCCCTGTAGAAGATTGTGATTTGCTGTTGACCTTTATTAGTTGTGTGGTGTTCAGGAGAAAGGCTTTTTAGTCGTCTCTGGAATGTCTGCTCTGCAACGCAGCAGCTGCTCCTGAAGTCTCACAGCAGGACTATTTCTGTTGCCTCAAAGAAGTTTTGGAACTGGGAGAACTTTCTTACAGGGCGGGGGCCCCAACGCCGGTTTCTTCCTCCACTCCCACGCGCTCGGGCTGAGACTCCTGCTAGCTGGGATGTCAGGCTGCCAGCTTTGTGTGCCAGCAGCGCACCTCATGTTCACCCACCACACAAAGACGCCATTTGTCGCGCTCCTAGCCCATACCGGTGCCAGGAGGCGAACAGAGCATTGGGCAGGTGAAATATGGGAGGACTGAGGCGTGCTCTGATTGGCCAAGCTTCTGTGCTGCTTAGTTAGGGATTCATGGGGTACATCTTCCCATTTGTATTGGCGGAGGTAGAACTTAAGAGGAAGCTGAGAAAGCTTATATTACTTATAAGATGCTTTTATCAGATATGGCATACATTTTATTTTATTTTTTTTAAACGCAAAGTCCGTGGATGGTGAGTGGCTCGGCGCTAAACCTGTGATCAGAAGATCGCTGGCTCGAGCCCCAGCCTCAGCAGAACAGTCACAGTTAACACCCTAGTCCCAGGGATGATACCCATTGGCTCATCCTACGCTGTGACCCCCAAGCTATGGAGAGTAAGTTGGGGTAGTCGAAGAAAAGAATTCAAATGTACCTGTACTTGTACTTGTGCAAATGGTGAACATAGGATTTATCTTTTTCTTTTTTTTTTGTATAATCATTGTCAATTCTTGGAGCAAATGGGGGTTAAAGGCCTTGGCTCAGGGGCCCTACGGACAAATCACTCTGCCGACCTTAGGATGTAAACTGGTGACCTTCTGATTTTAGGCACAGTGTCACACATCACCCTAACAGCTTAGTCTCCGTGGCCTCTCTGCCACCTCCGATTTGGAGAGTCTGTCCTTTACTCCCCCCCCCTCCCCCCCCACGCCCATTCTCTCACCTTCCGCCATCCAAGCTTCATGGCACAGTTAATCTCCTGTCCCGCCCTAGGAGGCTACACCTCTGTGCAGGTGACACTATATAGAATAAATGCCACCCATCCCTGTTCTCTTTCCTCTTCTGATCCCATTGCCAAACAGGGGCATTGCATTGCCTCACCATTAACATTTGCAATCTCAGTTGGAACCCAGTTCATACTGGTTTGTTTTCCTATGTTTAATTCCCCATAAGTCGGTGGTTCCCGGATCAGATGTGTAGTTTTATGTTAAGTTCCAGGCCTTTTTTTGAGGACAGAGCTCTGCTAAGGTGCTTGTCAAATTAAACAAATATTTGACATAGAACTGGATCAAGTGTCCCTGGCTCAGTTTACATTGTGCTTTTTTAGCTGTGCAGCTAGCGGGAAACCTGCTGACCCCCAGCTGCACGTTCCTGCAGTGATGTTATCTGGGTGAACTTTACCCTCTTGACCTGGAGGAATGAGGGCTTATTCACTGGGAACTGAAACACTGGTTGTAAGGTTGTAACATCATGTAGACTGACAATATCCCGTCCCTCTGGTGGCTGAACGTCAGGACCCAGACATGAGGAGATTCAAATACGATTCACACTTTTAATTAAAAAAAAAAACACAAGTTGTAGATGTAGCACAGGGGCGGGCGATCTCATCCAGAAAGGGCTGCTGTGTATACGCGTGTTCGCTGCAACTCCCTTATTAGATTTCTAAGTGGAGGATTGATTGGCTGAAGAGTTCTCACACCTGGGTTTGAACAGCTGACCTAAAGGTTATCCCAAAAACCTGCACTTTATAGACAGTTCACGCTGTACATTTCCAGTTAAACGTGTTAGCCTGCACCCACAATGGAGTGAGGTGGATCCTGTTTGTTAACAAAGGAGCCTGTGAATTGGTTAGTTGCTGTAATGTTAGGGTCAGTGTCAGTTTTATTATCATCAGACTAGTTGAACCAGTTGGTTTACCAGTTGGCCGCAGGCAGCAACACAAACCAGCCTCCTTTGGCAGTATGTGATGGGGCTGCTTTTGCATGTGCATGTGTGCAGCGTGTAAGTAAAGGAACAGTGTTGGCTGGGAAGGTAACTGTGGCAGCATTCATACCTTGGGCAATATCGCAGGTACAAGGTGGTTTGAATATAATGATGGATCTTTTCCCAGCAGAGTGTCTAAGTGGCATGAGCCTCTAGGAGAAAGAGCTCAGGAGCAACTTGAATCTTGTAGTGATTTTCCTGTGAGTCTTACAGACTCGTCACGTCTGTAATGCTCACGTTTATTTCGAGACCCTTTGGGGGGCGGGCAATGGCTCCGTCAGCTTAGGCCGGTACACCCTCCTCCCTCGAAGATGAAGGTGCTATCGGATGCTCGTATTCTCCAGCAAGTTGTCCCTCTCTGTCATTGCTGATCTCTGATAGTGCTTCAGTGGAGGGGAGCGGCTGGCGATGTGGGAAAACTGGTCACGTTTTACGAGTTTGGGGGTTGTGTTCTAGCTTGCGGTGTGTGTTCCAGGTCAGCTGAGGTGTATATATGTGGCACAACAGCCTCTGCTCCCGATTCTGACACGTGTGCTGCATTATTGCAGGGAGAAGTTGCGAGTGGGAGGGATCCAGCTGGAAGATCTTGGGAACAAACTGGAGCTCTGTGCCTCTGCCAGGGGGTATGGGACTGCAAGCAGCTCCTGGACGTGATGCTGGTACACACCAGGATATACCTCCCCCTGCCCCCCACCCCAGCACATACCTCAGTTACCAGTCTGCATCTCCTGCTTTCATTGGGGTGGGAGTTATGCATTCTGACATAGCTTTATTCATTGCAACTTAACTTATGTGTGGAAAGTTACAGTAAAGACATGAATTGCAATTCAAGAGCGTAGCTGTCTTCTATAGTGCCAGTTAATTTACGTTACAGCTGGGCATTAAATTGATTCTATCGATTTAATTCAAATTTTTTTGTTCAGGGCGATGTGTAAAATTAATATTCTAATTTACTTTAAACTGCCTAATTTAATTTTTTTTAGTATGAATAAGATGTTTTTCTTACTTTGGGGGCTCCGCAAAGTCCAGCATGCCCGACTGCTCTCTCCACCCCCTCGGACACCAACACACCGAGCAAGATGGCAGCACATGCATCCGCGAAAGAGGAGCTAGTCTGACACTGCCAGTCTCACCTTGGTTATTTTGATGTGGTTTGATTTATGCAAAGTCTGACATACTGTAGAACAAACCACTGTCTTCTGTAAAGTTTGTCTGAAGGCTACCGAAGGCAGCAGCACAACAAACTCATTTTGGCGTGTCAGATAGGCTGTGGAGCGGGAGTGTGGGGCAGCCTCTGAACGCTGTCTAAGCGGCTCACTCTTCACCTTACATTCCATACAATAAGAAGGGTCCCAGGGAAAAGAAATGACAGATGCCCTGACGCTTCATATCGGCAAAGATATGGTACCTATAGATGCAATGGAAAAAAAATGGGTTCATTCAGATGCTAAATAAAATCGACCCCAGATATGAGCTATCAAACCCAAAGTCTTTTACCGAAGTAGCCCTGCCCCATCTAAACTTGTCAAAATAAGGGTATTTAATGATGTCTTCGTTTTAAAACGATTATTTCGAAAATCAGAATCGTGAATCAGGCGTATGTTGAAAACAACCTGAGATTTTTCTTTTAGGCCGTATCAAACAGGCCTAGCTCATGAGACTGTGCACAGCCAAAGGTCTTGGCGGTTTGTACTTGTGGCATGGACTTGCCAAGACAGATACTTCTTGTTTGTTTTGGGATTGTTTAAAATGTACTGCAAATTTATTTGTGCAGTTATTAATCAAGTTAATTAATTTAAGAGAATAGACTCATTATTAAACCCTGGTCTTCCGTGCCCCGTGGGAAGTGGACGAGAAGAATCCTTCAGGAGAAGGGATTTGCACACTAAACGCTAAAATCCAGCTGATATCTAAAGATGAGAAATCCCATACCAACGAATTACTTTACTGTGACTCTTGTGCATGCCTGGCAACCCTAAGTGTCAGGAATAACCTTAATGTGATTAGTGTCCCCTGTATGCATCGAAGAACCCTGCAGCCTTTTTGATGTCCCCGATCATACCGCTTTTCTATATTATTGATATTTATATTCAAAACTGTACTATATCTATCTGTAAATATATAATAAAATTATTTTTGGTAGTTCCAACCCCTATTTCTTTCTCTGTGTATGTGGGTATGTCCAGTAAAGCAACATTCAATGTGCTGTGTGACACATTTCATCAGAAACGTTATGTGACATGCAGAAATGCACTGCACGTGAAAGCGTGTGCACTTTGTCTGTCTATACTTTGTACTAATGCCGATGCTCCTGTAACTAATGCTCTCGTGTTGCTCTGTGTTGTAACTTGAGTGCTGCCAAGTCCCCTGTAATTGTAGACTTTTTAGGGTCGACTACCAGTTCAGGTTCACACAGGCTACAGTACATTTTACCAAAGCACAGGTTCAGAAAGTTTGCCTCACCCAAGACTCTCGCCTGTGAGGTTGAATAACAAAAATACATTTTTTCTTCGGGTCGGATATCTGGCGACCCATCCAATTTGTGTGTTGGAGGTGTGCATTCTGGCAGTTTCACGCAGGCATACCCTAGGAAACGGTACTGACTGTCTGTTTTGAGAGACTCTACTCCACCTACCTTCGTTCAATAGCTGTCCCAGTCAGCATTAACGGCAGCATTCTCTGGCTCAGTGGTTGATGTGGTTTTTCCTCCTGAAATGTTAAGCGTGCCTATTACTGGCTCACAGGCACCAGCTGTAAAGGTTCCGGCTTTGTGAAATGTCCCACAGCCACGTTGTGCCTTCCCCCCCCACCACCCTCATTTTAACCTTACATATATTTGCCACTCTGTGACCTTTCAGACAAAGGAGCGTTCAAGTTATATCTTAGCTATTTTAAATCAAGCTATTAAAAAAAAGAAAGTCACGTCTTCCAGGACCTGGGAATTTGAATGGTCCTGGATGTGTCCTCAAAGGGTTTTCCACATGAGTTATTACCTGCCAAATTCCCATTTGCTACTCCAGATTGATGGGGTGGGTTGAATCTAAACTGACCTTTGACCCAGCCCAGAGCAACTACTTATCCTTTTAAACCTCTGAAATACACAATACTCTGGCCTAGGGAAAAAGCCTCGATGTCTACATATAATTAAAAAATACATAAAAGCATCCTTCCATTTATCTGGTAAGGAGTCATGAGGAGGTGGTCTGGGATCTATCCCAGTTACCATAGGGCACAAGGCAGGGGTCCTGGCTGGGGGGCCACTGAGCCTAGTGCTGGTGACACGGCATGTACATACAGTACTCACACATACTCACACATACTACCGGCTGGCAAAAGCCTTGTGATGGGTGCCCAAAGAGACGCATCCCATAGTCACCTTGTGCAGGTACAAATGCTTTATTAAGAAATGCGTCATAACAAATGGGATACAGAACTTATTTCACTCTAACAAAATGAAAGCGTCGTCTTAGCGGTGAGATCTGAGCACTAGGCTCACGCGACAACTTGCCATGGGCATCAGCCACTGGTTATATCATTTGGTAATATGCACAACAGTGTATAAAAAAATGTATATACAAGAAAAGGCCAATTATAGCACAGTAGTGGTAAAGAGAATCAGATTTGTTGTAATGTTAATGACCATAATACTTAAGGCATTAGATGCAAATGTGAAGTAGAATTATGGAGGAGAGAGGTTAGAGAAACTGAAGCCGTGGTTGTTATGGTATACCAGGAAGGATGGGTGCACTGGTATTCCAAGACAAAAGTGAGAAAAAAATATATACAGCAAAAATATGCAGTATTCATAGATTGTGGTTGTTCTTCTCAGCACATCAGGCCTCCCTTTCCATTCCCATCCAGAACTTCACAAAGCTTGCTTAGATGGCATCAGCAGCATCTATGCAGGGCCTCCACTCGTTGGCATCCGGGTCATACATCTCCATGGAGCTGAGGAAGTCATTGCCGTCGAAGCCACCCACCGCGCAAACAGCGCCCCCCAGCACGGCCACGCCCGCATTGCTGCGAGCTGACGTCATGCTGCCCATCATCTTCCACTCGTTCTTTGCCGGGTCGTACACCTCCACGCAGCGCAAGGCGCGGGATCCGTCAAAGCCGCCCACCACGTACAGCTTTCCTATGGAGATGAACTCAAAAAAATAAACCTTCCGAAAACCTTTTACCTTCTGAGATCCAAAACAATAAGTACTAAGCAAATTCAGTCAATTAACTAACATAGTCATTTATTCCGTTAATGGCATGGACACCCCTACACACCTTCATACGCAGCCACTCCTGCCCCACGCCGAGCCACATTCATGGGGGCTATCAGGGTCCAGGTGTTGTTTTCAGGGTTGTAACGCTCTACCGTGTTCAGGCAGTTCCAGGATTCTGCTCCTCCGATCACGTACATGAAGTTACCCAGCTCACACACAGCTGCTTGATGTCTCCCTAGATGGGGTTAAGACTTTGATAAGTTTGGTTCTGTCCGATGCCCCAGGAAACAGCCAAGTCTCTTGTGAGACTTCAGACTTACGGATGTTGAGGGGAGCACAGCTAGTCCAGGTCTTGGTGACAGGGTCAAAGGCATCAGAGTTATTCAGGCTTTTCTGCCCACTGGGGTCAGATCCTCCCACGACGTAGAGCTTGCTGTTCAGGGCACAAACGCCTGGAAGCACAAGTCCACATCAGCGACGAAACGGCAAAAACCCGCACGTCACCGAGATGGTCCTCTGCTCACCTGCGTTACATCGGTTGGTCCTGAGCTCCGGCACTTGAGTCCACTCGTCTGTTTGGAGGTCATACATCTCCCCGCAGCTCAGCTCGTCCGAGTGGCCGTTGGAGCCGCCCATAACATAGAGCTGACCCTACCAGATAGAAGAGGAGGAATCCTTGGTCAAAGACTCCAGATTGGCACTAAACCAGCACTTGACCGAAGACATTAACCCATTAGCTTCTCGGCTAGCCAGCTAAATCCCAAGAGCAGACGACATACCATCAGCACCGCCATCTGGAACCGTGCCCTGGGCATTCGCATGGGTGCCAGGAAGGACCAAGTCCTTGCCAGAGGATCATAACACTCCACCGTCCGCAAGCACGCCTCCCTGTTATACCCACCTGAACATATAACAACAAGTAAGTCTTCCAGCAACCTCACCCCCTCTCTCAAGACCATAACAGGATTTGAGAAAAGTCATCCCAGGCCCCACGGTACAGATACTCCACCACCACGACACTAAGAGCTTTACCTGCGGCAATAAGCCTGCCATTCAACCCTGCGGTGCCCAGGCCACAGCGGGCATAGTGCATGGGTGGCAGCAGCCTGTCGTCCAGCTCCTCCGGCTGCGCCTCGAAGCTCATGCTCTTGAGGAGGCAAGGGGTGCCAGAGGGGGAGACCTGGGGACTGGTGCGGCCGTGTAAGATGATGACACTCAGCAGCCCATCCAACACTGCCAGGCACAGGTACGCGTTGTCTAAAGCACGAGAGAACAAGCGGCTATGGCCAATCGTCTTCGTCCACCACTGTCGTGCGTGTCGGCGTGAGCGTGTCAAAGGTAACGCCCGCTTACTGGAAGTCCTCTCCGAGGCGACGTACTTCCACTCATGGCTGAGATGATCGATGGACCCGGGAGACAGACTTGTGTGGGAGCCAGGGCCTATCTGCCAATGGTCATTCTCCCGCGGAGGCCTCTTCTGCAGACCCACAAAGGCGACAAAACCCAACTAGACCCAACAGAACCAGCACCATGGCACAAGCAAACCCTATTTCAATCTACAGACTGTTACCCAAGAGGATTATTTGTTCTTTTGTAAACGTTTGATCCAGACAAGGGATTGTTTTTTTGGGGGGCGGGGGGAAGGGGAGGGATACAAATAAAACCAATTAAATAAACTGGGGGTACACACCCCCCTCCCCCCCCCCAGTTTCTGTGTTTCTAAAAGGAAGAACACTGCAGCTTCAGAGGACGCTTTCAGCTGACATCAAAAGATGTGTATAAAGCACTGAAGAGCAGCATGCACGCCCTCTGGTTCTGTACCTGCACAAACTGGATGTGGTCGTCGCTGCCAAAAACCTCAGCCTGCCCTTCAAACAAACTCCCGCCATGCAGCCTGTGCTCTGCGGAGTAATGCAGAGTTTGCACCTGCAAAACAGTATAAGTGCGTTGCATGTGGCTGTCTCTATGGCAACAAAGAACCTGGAAACACCTTCCCCGGTCCCTGGCTGGGAAGGAGGAAGAGGAGGCCGCGGTTTCTGCAGGCATCAGGCGTTTCTGAAGGAAAAGGTCTTTAAGTTTTGCAAACAAAAAATAAATGACATGGCACTGGGCCACTAGCAGAGCAACCCTTGGCTGGAAAAGGGACTGTTGTTCATATGGATCCCAGCCAGCCTCAGTATCTCAGGCACCCCCCCGTACACCAGAACGGCACCATCATGCTGCATCCGAGCATCCTCACGAACTTTTAAATCACTGTTCAGTGTGTGAAGGTCAGTAGGGAAATAAGTACTATCCTGAAGCCAGCTGGCTCAAAGGGTAACTGATGACTCAACGGCATTAGACAGCTCTGTAAAACAGACCACAGGAATCCAAGGACTGAGAGGAAAGTCCGTTTCCACACCACAGCCGGATAAGATATGCGTGCAAAGGGATGGGGGGGCAAACAGGAACCCAATGCCCAGTTGCCAAGGTTGTGAATTTGCTGGATGAACAGTAAATCGAATGTGGTTGGGGTGTGGCTCCACATATGAAGTGTCACTTTACAACCATATCTCGTCGTGAGAAGGAAACTGGTGCTTGAGGTATTTTCTTCAGTTCTTGCTCAAACCCCCTGCCCCACATGAATGTTTTGAATGCATCAATGCATCCCAAAGCATGCATGCATGCATGCATTTCAAATAAGACAATGCACTTACAGCGCAAACGCCAGGGGTTTAAGGAAACGGGGGTAACGTGCCAGTAAGGGACATACGCAGCAGTGGGCTAACTGACTACTGTCTCTGCCCGCCTTCCTGATAACAGACCGGAGAACGGCAGTGCCGCCCGCGGTCGAGAACTGAGGCTGCTTTCATGGGACTCATTACCCTGGAGGATTCGGCCTTGCTTTTCTTCAGTCTTGCAAATTCTGCTGCTGTTAATAAACCTATGGGAAGATAGATCAACGAGGAGGAAGAGCCATTAGAATTAATCACTCGTACAGCACACGACAACCTGTGAACCAAAAGCAGCTTTGTTAATTAGGCACGGAGATGCTGGAGATTAAGCGGTGGTCATTTGGAAGAGGGATTGGTTTGGAAAAACAAAAATGAAAATGCTTCTAGTTTTCCAGCCAAGCAGAAGCCTGTTGGAGTCCAAATAGAAAAGCAGAGACTGAACAGGGCCCGTTTCTGCTCACCTGGACAAACCCCGACAGGGAATGTGGCATGTAAAGGTCTGTAAATTGTGCAGTAGGTGCCATTCTTTAGGCTAAAACTTCAAAATAAAGAAACAAAAAACAATCCCAGACCAGAACAGTGCCTCAGCGGCAATTCACCCACAAGCTCCCCACAAACGACAGTGATAGAACAGGCCACCGGGCTCGGTACTGACCTCCTCCATCAGACTCTCCAGCTGTTCCCCGTTCTCTAACAAGGTGCGCTGAAGCCAGCGGATCAGCTTGGAGTACAGTTTACCGTTGCTGGGCAGGCTCTGGTTGTCTTCTAGCATGACCTCCAGCTATGACGGGACAGAAGGTTCTTCAGGAGGCCTCTTGGAGCACACAACTCCAGAATATTGCGCAAACAGTGTGGGATGTCGGAGTACCTTGAGTCGGGGAAGTTTGAGGAAGTCCTCCTGATCTGAAATCTCCATCAGGTGTTCTTGGATGTACCCATCGATCTTGCTTAAGAGATGGCTGTCTCCCATGCAGCTGGCAAAGATGCGATTGGAGATTGCACTTCGGCAGTCCATCTTTGACAGCAGGTAGTTCCCACAAATCTGAAAGAGTGTGGCAAGTGACCCTACAGCTGAACACCCATGGTTTGACCAGAGACAGCACGTTCAAAAAAATACTAGTCTTCAAGTACTAATGAAGCACATTTGAAACATCTGAATTAAGCACTACAAAGCCTGCATAATTTAAAGGATTAACTGACAGCTAGAGACGAAAATGAGTCATACCTGTTTCACCCCTTCCATCTTGAACCTTTTCGCGGCAGAGTAGACATCTCTGACCTGCTCCTTTTCAGCCTTCAGCCTGAGCAGAAGGTGAGAACAGGTCCACACTTAACCCACCTCCACAAACAGCCCAACTGACAGGAGGGACCAAAACGGGGCCTGATTCTTGGCACCTGCAGTCAGGCTTACTGGGCTGTGTAGGCGTAATTGAGCAGAATCTCCACCGCCTCGGGCTCCAGGTCCTCAAAGGTCACGTGAGCGACCCCACTGGGTTCAGTACTGCTACTGAAGAGCTCGAACAAGTACGGGCTGCAGCAAGCCACGACGGCACGGTGCGCCGTTAGCTCACGGCCGCAGACCTGTCCGAGAAGTGACAAAACAGGCAGTGGCGTGTCTATAAATATATTACATTATGGGGACATTTGGCCCTTTGAACTTTGAAGATGTGAGGAACATTCTTCAATTCCCACAACCTCAATTTTATAAAAATCTATGAATGCAATCAAAAAACTAAAAATGCCAAAAGTCTTGTATTTTGTTTGGTTACTAAGGTTCGGGCTGAGTAGGGGTTAAGGTTGTCATTGTTGGGACTAGGCTTTCTCTTATGGACAATCCCCACAAAGATGTGAGTACAAACGTGTGTGTGTGTGTGTGTGTGTGTTATTTTGGATGTTCTAAAACCTGGGGAATGTGAGGATAAACTAACCAGCACTGCCTACTAGTCCCATAAAACTTATGTCTAGAAACACAAAGTATCCTAAAAGAATCCGCCAGTTGCATGGCAGGTCCAAATACATTATACTTCTGGGGTACATTAAAACTGTCACAGAATATCCAGAACACCACATACCCTAAGAATCATTCTTGGTTTTTCAAAAATCAATAGCATTGTAAAAAGCTGTCATTAGAGGTTAACGAGATGTCACACCTGCAGCCTTACGTCACAGAATTGGCCGCTCTTCCGAAGCGTATTCATCTTTGCCACGGTAGAATCAAGGAAGCTGTTGTCCTCAAATATCAAATATCCATTGGGGATCATTTTTGTGAGCCTTTTGTACTAAGCCCTAAGGAACGAGCGAAAACAAGCATATTTTGGTTACATTTTGGCAGATTGATCGAGTCTTCGTAGAAATATCAGTCTAATTAACTTACGGTTCACTAAAACAGCACATGGAGTGCATTCAGTAATTCGCCACACACATTAATTACATTTACCAAAAGAAGAAGAGTATACACTTGCGACAGATGAATCACAAGATGTTCCTGATGAGTAAAACAAGTGGATGGAGGAACACAGCTTAAGGCTTGGGTGCAGCACACACACTTCCAGGACCGAATCGAGTGTGGTCAGGTACACTGGATCCCGTTGGTTATAGAGGGGATTTTTTTCTGCGGAGATCATGCATCATAACCTGCAGAAAAAAAACAAAAATAATGTTAAAGATCTTATTTTAAACAGTGATTGTGTGCAGTGAATGTGTCCATCACAAATGGGATACTTCTGTGGGAATCCTAGTTCTCATAAGGCAGCACCCTGATTCAGCAGGAACCATTACATTCCTTTCAAATTCCTACAATGGTAGACCAATGAGAAGCCCAATCTCAACTGAAAGACGTGCCGTACTCAAACTCTCAAAGACTCCATTCTGCTATAATGAGATACACAAAGCCACAAGTTATCCTAAATCACCGCGGATGCCCTTGGGTCTGTCGGTACAAAATATTCCTTCAAATGCCATGATGGAAGAGTGGGGGGTGTTCCCCATCGCTGCTGGATCCAGGAGGGATGAATCACAGAGGAACTTCTGCAGCTTCCCCCATTTCTGAAGTAAATGGAACCACAACCGCGGCAAAGCAGAAGACAGTGGCTGAAGCTTTTGGGAACAGGCCTCGTTAATGTAATACCCACATCATAAAAACTGGGACAAATTAGCATTATAAGCTACACACCTAACCATGCTATTCAAAAGTCTACAATAAATCAGGCTAGTAAACATTCTGGTCCAGGACATGAAGCTGTTATACAGAAACATGCGCCGCAGCCAAATGAATCACAGTGTGCTGCCCTGAAGTGAACAGCTGGACCAAAATAAAGAGGTGAGTAAAAACTTTAAAGACCTCTGTAGAGTGTTCTGGATTGCTGGATCGATGCCTTAGTGGGCTGGACATGTTGGGAATGAAAGCCAAACACACACAACTGGAGAAACTTATGCAATCAAGAAGCTAATTGTAAAACAATTGGAAAATAGGGACTTTTATTGCCCTTGGTGAGAATGATTTCAGGAAGGGTTTGTTGTTGTTGGTCATGTGGTTCACACATGCACATGCTGATCTATGCTTTGCACGTGGAGTGTGTTAGTAGTTCAGTTCTGCAGTTTTGAGCAACCATCCAAAACAGGCAGTGTTAAAACACCATCATCATCACTTATAAATGGTCAAAAGGCAAATTTAATTCCTAGGATTCTTGTTCTTTCATTCTTGTGCTATATCGGTAAGTGCCAATGTGTAAAATGAACAAACCTTGTGCAGTTACGCCAAGTCAACATTTGATGAGCAGGTGAACCAGTTTTTAATCCATAAAACTCCACCCAAGACAAGCAACAGAACTGAAAACTAACAAAATAAATAAATAAATAAAAACTTGGTGACTGATATACAGATTTAAAAATGCACTATAATAGCAGGACAATTGAGTAGCGTCTAAATTTAGGGTTTTATGCAACATAAGATGGAAGGAAATCTCATCATAAAATTTGCAGGTTTTTCTTTAATATTTTGGGCTTCCTAAAAACAATCGCCACACATCATTTGCACACATCATTTGCTGTCTGAGGCAAAGTAAGCCATAACTTGAGGGGAACTTCTTGATCTATGTCTAAAAATTTAATAATCTGCTGTTTTATTCCCAAGCTGTAAATTATTTATTTTAAGGAAGTGGACTTCCTCATCAGACTGGGACTGGAGGCGAGGGTGGGAGGTGGGATGCGGAGGAAAGATCCGGGTCCACCTTGCAACGGCGGGGGACTGTTCAACCGAGACCTTTCTCTCTCGCCAAAGTGATTTTCTAATCTGATCAGCCACCATTAGTGTAACGATGTAGAGACAGATTGTTAGGGAAGACGTGACAGTTCTTTCAACGCCAGTTAACCGACACGTGGGTCCGGGCACCTCTTTCATATAAGGGGTCACTCGCAGATAGAATTATGTCCCATACAGGATCATTCACGGCAGATGAAAAACCACACGTATCTTAAATAAGCAGACGTCCAGTCTGCAACTACACCGTCAAAGACGATTCGCAAATCCGAGTCGTGATAGATTTGATAAGCCCAACAAATAAAATAGTCCAAAACATAAACTGACACATGTTCCCGAGCAGTTAGATAAAATAAGGATGCTTACATATGCTAATTACATACTTACACTATATACGTGATAAGAATTTCTGCTTTAATAACAAATTCACGCTGACATTCAGGTGGACATCGCTTCAGCGTGTTGCCATCTATAACCAAGTCATCTGGCTAGACATCATGGAATATGCATCAAAGAAGGAGGCAGTTTGCCAGATAATTACGATAAATAACATTCAGGCTTTTACTCTGACATCAACAGCACTCAAGATGAACTCCTGCTTTTGTAAAAGGTGCCCCTACGACATCTAGAAATAAAACTCAGCTCTTTCCTCTCGACTACTGCACCTACGCATATTAACATATGACCCTTATATTGGTCGCACTGCGGCTCTCCGTCGTAAGAAAGGGAGGATTTTCAGGTCTTACGAAGAAAATACTGGAATGTGTGACACGGCAATACCACTCCGTCTAATAATTAGAACTATAATGGAGAACTGCGTAAATTTCGAATAATACAGGCACATACACCCATTCATTTGACTTACCTTTTCCATACGACAGAAAAGGACAGGCAGCATATTTCACGTGGATGCAATTTTCTCCGGACGTGGACAGTTCTGGAAAAAGCTGGCACGAAACAACCTTACTGGGCTGCGCAATCACTTCTGTGTATCCAACTACCTTCTCCCCTTTCAAGGTGTCTGCACCGTGAGAAGAGGCGGCGTGGTCTTTTCAAAGCGAAGGGACGCGCCACATGGCTGCCTGCATCATCATACACCCCGCCTGCCCAAGGAAGAAGCGGGGAGCTGGACCAAAGATGAATGTGCGTGTATATGCATGGGGCGGGGCGAATGTAAAAAGGGGCGGAGATAGTAAAGATGGGCGGGGAGAGTAGAGTGGGCGGGGCGATACGGCTTGAGATGAATGGGTGTATGTGCATGGGGCGAGGCGAATGTAAAACCGTGTAAGGGTAGTGGACTGAGTTTGGCCGAGCCCTGGTATCATCTCGGATTGATTACGGTAGGAAATGTCCATCCGGACACGCAAACCTGTTCACTTCTTTTGGTCCCTGTAATGTGCTTAACCATAACCTACAAATCAGCTCCAATATTAGATTACAAAGCCATTATTTTAGTACCCATCTTTATCCTAAATGTGGGCATGTCGGAATGATTTTCTATAAACGTACGATGATGTGGACAATTTCACCCAAATTGCTAGAAAAATTCTCAGTCTGAATTAATAACTACGTATTACATTAAGAAGGTTTTACAGACATGGAAAATCACTCTGAAACAAGCAGAAATAATGAATGTTGTTGACTGATGATGAACTTCTATCAAAATCGCAGTAGGCAGTTAAACTACCACACAGACCTTCGATAAGTTCTATACTAGATAATCATTTGTATGATTAAAATAAATAAACACCACAGCAGTCCCATCGTACATCAAACAGCATTTTAATATCGTACAAACACGTACTGTTTTGTTGCATTTTTTATTTTTTCCACATAGTAAATGGAGAATGAAAGCGTCCATTAAGGTAATCCCTATAAGGTTATCTACGATACCTGTTTCTTTATCTTTCGTGCTTTGCGTCAGCCACGGGAACACCAGACTGACGTCAGCCTCAGCCTCTTTGTCTAGGGACGGGATGTTGTGTAATAGACAGAAACAAAAGAAGGTAACCAGTAGGTGGTATTTCACAAAGCAGGATTTCTTGCTTAGCTGGATAACTTGTTAGATTTACGGTAGTCTTAGCTACATCTGAGATATCCTGCTTCGTGAAATACCCCCCAGAACAGAACAAGCATTAATAACTTTTGAGATAGACTAGAGCCAAAATAATGAACATTGGTACACTGAGCACTGCTCTCCCATGTAGCAGGCAAAAAGCCTACCATTTCCCTCATGGAATTACCTCTCTAAAGAAATGTAAAACAAAACAAACAAAAAGTAACAACGCCAAGAATGCCAACAAAGGATACAGAAAAATAAGTCCTTGCTTTGTGGAGAAAAAAGACGCGTTGAAGGGAAAGCAGACCATCTATTGAAGAATGAAACTGGTGCCACCCAAAAAGCTATTCCTTTAATAGGCACATCACTACATGCATGGTAAGAAAGGGAGGATTTTCAGGTCTTACGAAGAAAATACTGGAATTTATATCATTATATTACATTGTTTCCAATTTTACTTTATGTTAGCTGTAACCGTTTATGTCATTATATTACGTTGTTTCCAATTTCACTTAATGTTACCTGTAACCATTTAAATCACAGCACTGAAGTAATTTGCACTGGCTACCACGACTCTTAATGAGCATGAATAATCAACATGATGTCTGTACTTCCTGTTGGCATTTAGTATTATTAAAAAATAAGCTGGCCATTTAGAATAGAGATACTTAATTCATCCCCATGGGCAAAGTCTTTTTTTTTGCTTACCCCATATTGCTCTCCATGAGACACACAGACAAGGTCAAGCTTGGGGGTCACAGCATAGAGTCAGCAGCAAGCGGCAGCCCTGGAGCTGGGGGTTAAGGGCCCTGCTCAGGCACCTAAGTGCAGCCTCAGTCTGCTGGCGCTGAGATTCAGACTATCAACCTCCCATTGACAGACACAGGGTACTAATTGCTGAGCCACACTCTACCCTATCCTATGCTATCATACCCTATCCTATGCTATCATACCCTATCCTATGCTATCCAACCCTATCCTATGCTATCCTATCCTATCCTATCCCATCCTATCCCATCCCATCCTATCCTATCCTATCCCATCCCATCCCATCCTATCCCATCCCATCCCATCCCATCCCACCCCATCCCATCCTATCCT